GAGGGAGGGAGGGAGGGAGGAGAGGGAGGGAGGGGAGGGAAGGAGGGACATGGTTCCAGTGGTCGATAACGAAGAACAAATTGAGTCACTCTAAGTCACTCTGAGGTTGCAGAGGAAGGGAGAAACGAAGGAGGAAGGGTGAAACGAAGGAGGAAGGGAGAAACGAAGGAGGAAGGGAGAAAGACTCGAGCCAGGAGTCGAGGACAAGAGGTCTTGCACACTGCAGGGGCGACCTCAGTGAGAACGAATGTTCAATGAGAAGAAGAACTGAACGGGAAAGAATATCTTACGCCTCGACACTGAGTCTGCATCAGGGCTCTTGGTTGACAACACTTCTGTCCGCCTGGTCCGAGCTGTTGGGTTGAAGTCGGAAAAGCGAAGCAAGGTTAAAAATGATCTGCGACACGGGAACTTGATTGCTGAGCTCTATGGCAGTTTGTGCCAACTCAGGGTTTTTAGGGTCTGCCGTTTCCTTGTCGTAAGGATTCTTTGAGCCGGCAAGCCCTCTATGCCGCAGCCAAGATTTGAGATATGGCACATGCCGTTGCGAACGACCTGCTCAAAATGAGTCGAAGCTGAGAAGACGAGAGGATCTTTCACGTAATTTCTCGACCATGTTTCTTGCAAGTAAGTCGGAGTGAAGATTCGTGTCTGTCCTTTCGTCTTCGCAGTCAGACATCGCATGGCCCTAGCAGAGCTCAGTTAGGAAAGCAAATGCAATGTCTCAATCACTTGTTCCCTGCTCTTCTTGTACGCCATGCGTGCTTGTATCATCAATGTCTTCCTTCTTTTTTCAACCTTGCAAATCGTTTTTTCAATTTTGTTTTGGTGAAAAATGAAACGGAATCTCACCCTGAGCCAATCTTTCGCGAAGGGAGCTGAACCTAACGATTGAATCATTGCCTTGCTGATTTCGCTGACGTCAGCAGCTGAATCTCTTGGAGTAATAACGTATCGTCCCTGGTCAAAAACAATCAGCGTCGAGACGATACAACACTGCACAGCAAGGAGCCTTACTGGAGTGATCTGCTTGCTAGGGCTGCAAACGACATCAATATTAATCAACACCAAGGCGAGACAGTCACCTGTTCCCATTGTATTCTCTGTTACTTGAATTCCCCAGAGCAGAAAGTCTGCGCGATCTTCTTCCGGTAGATCGCAATGAATCTTGTTGCATAGGCCGCATGCTGTCGTCAGCATGCCGCTCCAGCCATTCTTTTACTTTGTCGACATCAAGCGACGGCTTCCAGCTGTCTTTAGACGGAACGGATGTCCCCCGACGAAGAGTGTCCTGTATGCACAGGTGTCAAACCAATTGTAAAGCAGGGTATTCAGATTGAGTTACATCGCCAGCAAGCTTCAATTCGTTTTGCTTGTCCTGCTGAAAGAAGGGAATGAATCCATTTTCAACTCTGGTTGAGAATCTTACCTGGACTGAATGACCTTTTTTCGTATCCATTTCTACCTCTCTCTCTTTCTCCTTCTCTTCCTTCTCTTTTTCCTTCCCCCAAAAGTCTGCGCTGACCGTTGGCTTTAAAGCGCTGCTGTCCACAGATGGATCTTTGCCTCCAAGCTTGGGAAAAAAGCATCTTTACGATCAAGTCAGCACAATGCACGCAAGGAAAAAAATCAATCCTCTTACGCAAGACAAGGCCCTCCACAACCAGAGAACAAGGAGTGTGGGGTAGAAACCCGTGGTGTGTCTACATTATCGTCTCCTTCCATGAGTGTGTTGGCGTTGTCTTCAGGGTTTACAGGCTTGTTTTCTGGTCCAAAGAATCTCAGGGGAGCGCGATCCTCTATCAGTTTCTCAGCTGGCACATCTTCAGGCTCCACCTTAAAATGTGCGGAGACAAGCTCATGCTGTTGAAATGAGTTAAACCTGACGCCCAACGTAAGCGACAACAGACTCACCTGCGCAGGCGACTTGCGATGCGAGGCATTGACAGTATTCGGAGTAGGGATGTGAGAGGACGGTGAAGAATCACCTTTTGCAGGCGGGTTTTGGCTTTCAACTTGATCATGCGCATCATTTGAATGGTTGGGTGCAAAATGGTCCAAGGAATTTTCTCCCTGCATGCCATGTTGTTGTCCTGCACCAGCAATAGACTTTCCCTTTACGGTCGTATCTTCAGAAGAATTCATGTAATCGATGCGAGTGTTGTGATGAGCAGATGGGTTGTGATGGCCAGCTGATAAAAAGTGCTTTGCTCTTCGTGCTTCAGCCAATCGCCTTTCCTTCCTGTATCTTGGGCCTGCCCCTGTCAATGCAGCGATCATTCCTTACGAATCCTGCCTGCCTTCAAAGACAAATTATTTGTAAAGAGAAACCAACGATACCTGAGTTAAAAACATAAAAGTCCAATGGAAGAGATGGAAGTCAAATGGAAGGGACAATCTGTTGCAACGAACAATCTACGCAACGCAAAACGAGTAGTACTACCTTCATTCTTGCGCATAGTCTGGGTCATGGCTCATTCACGAGAGTCATAGAGGCTTTTCCAAATCTATCATCTGTCGAATGTATCACCAACAATCCTCAATAACTTGTCAGTCATCCCGGCTACACCCTCATACTCCCCCAACGGAAGTTTTGGCCTCATCTTCCTAGAAGCTATATGATCTACAGCTCGTCTATAGTGCACTTTCCTCTCCAACTACCTGGCTAGCGCCTAGTCGATCTACTCAACCAAATTCTGCTGTCTGTTGTTCCCCACCGTTCTGAGCAGCAATTCTTTGCGGCGGGATTAGGAATGACACCCATCCCTTGACCGTCGTACAGGGCGATGAGCCTAACTGCAGCTACCTCAGTAGGAGGTGCCAGCAGGCTTGCAAGCCAGGTTCCCCGGAGTGACTTCTCGATTCTAGTAGTCTCAACTGAGCTCTTCCTCCTCCTCCTCTCTCTGCCTCTATCGCACAACCGTCTCTACCTCATAGCAGCCTACCATCCGATTGCCCTAAAGAAATAGCGCGTGGACCCCCACCCCCCTCCAACCCTGTGGAACCCATAGGGGTCGTCAGGGCTCACTTATCTGAGTCCGCCGGGCCGAACCCTTCGGACTCCGAGTGACTCCGCGGCCGGACTCGGACCCGGCGTTGGATAACCAGGCGGCCGGCCGGGCGGCCCGGGCCCGGCCGACCGGTCCTGTCAGTTGGCGCAGGGTCCCACACGCTCCAAAGCTCCAGGCGGAAGGGCTGATGACATGCAGGACACGACTGGCAGAGGAGGAAGTTGAAGAGAGAGAGAGAGGAGGGAGAGAGAATGTGGAGGAGGAGGTAGGGAGGGAGGAGTGACAGAGAAGTCATGGAGTAGAAGGGGGCAGTGTGGTCGGCAGTGGAAGGCATCGAGGATAGACATCGGACCGGCAAATGTACTACTGTCATGGGATGCAGTAGAGTTGAGGTTCGGAGCAAAGGAGAGTGTTATAGAGTATCGATGCTTTTGAGTCTTGCAAAGAAAATCAGAGCTGGGCATGGTGAGGGAGATTCCAGAAAGTGAGGGGAAGACCCGAGATGAGTATGAGAAGTCCCTGTAAGTTGAGGATGAGTTGAAGACAGAGGAGGGGAGAGGAATTTGAAGATTTTAGGCAGAGCGTGGAAGGGAGGGGCGACTAGGGCGTGTACCACCCGATAGGAATGGAGGTTGAGGGGATGGAAGGGAATACAGGAAAGTCACTGATAGTGTCAAATGCTCCCTTGTTGGCCGATGATCTATAAACCATCAACATGATTAGATTCCATCTAGCCACCTGTTAGCCCTTGATCGCTTTCCGTTGAATAATCAGAAAGCTTTTCTTCGCAATCCTTGTGTGACTGAATTTTGTTTGTGAAGATGGAAGCTGCTCTCGATTCTTCGACAAGCCATGATACATTGAATGAAGAGGAAATATTCGCTCCTGCTAGACCGTTCGGCAGCGCGTCAGATTCCAAGAACAAACAAATTGTGAACGTGAGTTGTCGTGTTTCTAAATCATGTGTTACCTTTCCCATCTTACTCCACAACATACAGAAGGATACGAATGCCAAGATGAACTGGACAATGTATTCACGAGAAGAATTGTTAGCTATCGGGAAGCAAGAATCTGTCTGCCGCCGCCCTCCTGACATTCCCGAGTTGTTTCGCAGGTCTGTTCAGATGTTCTCAAGGTATTTTAGCTCATGGCTTTGCAGGGATGCTCCAGGAAATGTTGCAGAGAAAGCAAAGATGGAGAGGAATGTCAGGAAAAGAGATGAGCGGGAGAGAGAACGGGAGAGGAGAGATCGCGGAGGTCGTGGTATCCGCATGCCCATCAATCATGGTGCTGGGCTACTGTCACACCCCGAGCCGAGGGGCAGAGGTGGACTCTCGCATGAGGAGCGGCACAAGATGATGATGGAAGAGGTTGAGCGGGAGCGATGCGCCTTGGCCGCTCAAAGAAACCGGGAGAAGGCTGCGATGGCGACCAACCCGGGGCTAGTGGACGACGCGATCATCTCCATGAGCGGCACTGAAGCGCCCATGGTGGACCCTCTGATGATGCGAGAGGTCCCAGTGAACCAGCAGTTTGCTGATGACGACGATGTTTTCGACCTAAAGAACCTCGTCGGGCCTGCGCTCTCGGATATTTCCGATGACGCTGCTCCTTTGGTCGGAACCAACATCCCCGTTCCCCCCGAAGCATCTCCGAGTAAGTTTGGGGCTTCAAGGGCAGGCAGATGGTTTGCTAGTCCAGCAGAGCGGCAGGGGAATCAGCCCATGGCACAGGAGAAGGACGGCAAAATGAACAGCATACTGGGAGGCGCCTTGCCCTTGACCTTCAACTCGGACCCACTGCTGAGCCCCCAACCTGCTCCTTCCTCACATACGGCACCCTTCATGCCGCTCAACTCGGCTTTCATGGATCCTGTCACTTCCTCCTTTCAAAGCTTGCCCAATATGCCACCGCAGCCTCCGCTCCTTTCAAGCTTTCAGGCTACAGACCTCTCCATGCTCGAGAGGCAGCAGTTCGAGAGCGCCAACAAGTCCGGAGGCTATGAACCTCCTCTGCAACCCCCTCCTCCTCAAACCCCGTCCCCTGCGAGGGCAGAGGTGCGCGATCTTGATCTTGATGAGCTACATCGTCCTTCTCCTCACGAGTTTGATCCAGAAACCGTCTGCCCCTCCGAACTTAGCCTCGCCAGGAATTCCCTTTGCTCGCCCAGGGAACAGGTGAGAAGGGCAGGAGAGGGACTTGACTTGTTCTTGAAACCCTACCGCAGCATTCTTTCAAAACTTCTTGGCGCTAACAACCCTGCTGGCCTCTCTGCCTCTCCGCTTCCCCCTCTTCCTAACGTGCCATCGACCACACTCTCGGTCGAAGACATCGAGAAACAGCTTATGAATGCCAGCAGCAAGCAGGACGGGGGAGGAGGCGGAAGGGGAGGGGGAGCAGGGGGAGTTCTCCCAAATGTTCCAATCTCTCCTGCAACAACTGCTGGCGCTTTCGATGCGAAATCTTTCTTCCAGCTCTATGAGAACCCTGTGAGTCTCAAGACATGTCTTTGTTGTCATTGTCTCATCCTCTGATGCTGCTCGCAGGCTCCTCCTTCAGGTCAATCGCCTGGCCCTGGACGAGGGAGGCAACCTCAAAATCTCCATCCCCATCCCCATCCCCATCCCCATCCCCATCCTCATCCTCATCCCAATCTCCATCCCCATCCCCATCCAATCAGTCCCTCGCATCCACCAGGACGAGAGCAGCAGAGTGAAATGCCGAATCACTTTGATGCTTCGAGCTTCTTCATGCAGTTCGGTAAGCTGCCACGCTCTCTCTCCGTTTTCTGCCTGTTCCTTGCATTTCCTTGATTTTTCTCTTCAGAGCATTTCGCTCCCATATCTCTCATTCCCTCTACATCCGATCCCCGTCTCTTGCGCTGACTCCTTACAGGTTCGTCGGCTGCTCTGCCGCCCATGCCAGCAGCATCCGTGGCATACGACGAGTCGCAGATGGCGACAGGGAAACCGAAGGCGTGAGGGGTCAAGAGGCCATGCGATGGTTTCACGACTGTTTGTTCGAATGAATGAAATCATAGAAGGCCATGCTCTATCGTTTTCCTTTTCTGCCATGCTTCCCCTCCCCCTGAATCCTCCCCCTCCCTCTCGTCTTCTTCTTTCGTCCTCGTCCTGCTCAGCCTTCCGATGGTGGATGAGATCTTCCTGTCCGAGCATGCTGCTCCCTGTCTGCGTGCACTCGCACCTTACTTCTGTGCGTCTTTGCGGAGCACGAGCTCGCTCTCCTGCGGTAATGACAGTCATCTGATCGATCAGACCCGAGCAGCTTCGAACCCATCCGTCTTGCTTCTGCTTCGCTGCAAGATCTTGAGCCTGCAAGAGCATGCCGGTTACCACTTGCGGGAAACCGCGAGGCCGGAAGCATCAAACACCTCGCATGCCACACCAAATAAACATGATATGAACATAATATGATGGCAGAATCAGGAGAACAGTAATCACAGCCTCCTCCTCCTCCTCCTCCTCAGCATAGACCACAGACCATCGGCACTTACATATGCTTGCTTGTCCTTCTCGATCTTCTTCCTTGCGGACTGTGAGAAGCTCCTCGTCAGCGACCCATCAACAGGAGGAGATGCTGACTAACGATGGCGCCGAGGACAGTGAAGGTGACTCCGAGGACTAGTGCTCCGAGCGGCATCACGAGCTGGTCATCAAGACGTCATCCCACCAGAGTGGAAAGGATGCAAGCGAAGGAGGGAGGGAGGGCGAGACGGAAGGAGGGAGGATCGGATTGCGAGATGCTGAGCGGCTCTCTTGACTACCTGAGCACGCTGAAACCATGTCCAGCGGCGCTGGTTCTTCTGCATGCCTGTTGCAGTACCGCACTGCCTCCCCCCGCAATTGCACAGGTGAATTTTCCCGTAAAGCCTTTGCACTGCTGTAATTTTGGGGTAGGGGGACGGGGTAGAGGAAAAGGAAGTAGGAGGGAGGGAGGGAGGGAAGGAGGGAGGGAAGGAGGATGGGATGGGAAGGAGACAGGGACGAGAAGGTCTTTCGACGAGCTTTATTTCCATCAACAAGGAGAGAGCGCGAGCGAGGTGAATCGTATGCTCGAGGATAGAGTACAACCGACGGGGCATCTCATCGCAACCAGTGCAGAGTGAACCATCTCGACATGAACGCTCGGACGTAAAGGATGCAAACACATGCTGATCCGGCATTTTCTTCCTTCAGCGTCGGCTCCATGGTCCCTGCGCGCTGATCACCTGCCATACTTCTGGAACTCCCAATCTCGGTTGTCTGTGATGAACGTGAGACAACGGTGTGGGAAAGAAGCAACATCTCACCCAGAGGGCAAACTTGACGGGTCTTGAGCCACCTTGAAATGCAGTGAAAGTGAAACGCATGGTTGCACTGGCCCCTGGCACGAGGCACGTCAGGGAAAAGGTCTCGGGCTGAAGCACGCTTACCATGCTACTGTACACTCCTCACTGGTAGCAGAGGCCTGGTGAGCTTGGCATTCAATGCCTGAATGCCAAAGATCAGTCAGGTGTAGTTCTTCTCCTCTGCTCCTTTCTGACACTCACAGAGATCCATGATGTGGTTGCGGCAGATAGCGCAGTTGTCAACAACAATGTCCCAGGCCCACAGGGCAACCTGCCATTTAGCGAGTCAGATCATGAAAGAAAATACGCTATCATTCGCCATCAAATCAGTCGATGTATACCATTCCAGTGAGAGATGTAATAAGGCATACGTAGCAAGGCTCAACAAATAAGAAAAACCAAGCTTGTTTTCATAATGCCTCGGAACAAAATTCAACACGCCATCAAACGCGTTGCCACAATGCATGATTCTTTGACTCAGCTAACTCTTGTTTTTTTTTTGCTTCTTCAAGTGCAGAAACTGAGCAAAGAAACAAAGGTCTACCACAAGCACAAACACTAGGACAGATTTTTGACGCCAAACAGTATCACACCAGCCCTCATGCCAATCAAACGTTTGCACCAGAGGCATGCAATTTGAAGCTACTTACCGCGTTCCACTTCTTCACCTCAAACCTCTTTCCTCCAGCAGCTCCACCCGCACTCCCTGCCGCAACTGCGCTGCTCCCTTCCTCCACAACCTCTTCCGCGTCGGCCATGGCTGGACACCTCAGCCCTTCACCCACCCGACTTGAAGACTACACCCTAGCAATACCCTAATAGCCACCCTCACCCCCTCCTTTCCTCATCAATTTTGAAACAATTTCTATATTCCAAATATATTATCAATATTTCAATATAGACCTTTCAAATTTCGAAAATATATCTCTCGTTTTACGAAAATATAACCCCCATGGAGACCCACCTGTTTAAATCACTTCTCCCTCCCGTGCTCAGGTGTGCTACCCACCTTATGGCAACCAGCAGAGCAGGGGTAGGGGTACATTGTAAGCGGCAACACCTAACCACACAGCTAGAACTCAGCGGCCCGGCGGCACGGCCCGGCCCGGCCGGCCGGGCGCCGTACTGCGGCACTGAGTTAACTCGGAATGACTTCCAGGACCCCGGCGTGACTCAGTGACGGGACCCCGGCGTGACGGGACCCCGGCGTGACGGGCCACCGGCGGCCGGTGACGGTGACAGTACCGGCGGCGCGGCCCGGTGCCGGGCGGCCCGGGCCGGGCGGCCGCCGCGGTTGGATCATCCGGGCCCGGCCCGCCGTGACTGCCGAGGCCGCGCCCGGCCAGTGACTCCGACCGGGCCGCCCGGCCGGGCCGCGGGGCAGCCTGCTCCCGGCCTGATTGTTCCTGATTTTTAACTTAACTTTTTTGAGTAAAAGATCGCCGGGAGTAGTCACGCTTCAGACCGGCGTGCTTTTACAAGTCTTCTTTACAGTTAAAAGATTATTAAAGTCAACATAACTTATTTTTTCAGTACAAGTACCACGGAAAAATCAATTGTTTGAAGCGAGCTTTGTTTGTGCTGTGTGTGGTACCGCTCGGGGTATCCGGCGGCAGTGAACCATTCTAGACGGAACAGGGGGTCTCTAAAGTACATCTTGGTAGTGAAAGGCAGGGGAGAGAGGGGGTGGGGGTATTTCCCCTCCGAACCAAAAAGTTAACTCGCGCTATCACCCCACCTCACGAAAGTCGTCGATCTACCCCACCATTTAAGGCATTCAGAGCCGAGTACCACCCACCCAGTGGGCAAGATGGTCGCCAGTGAAAGAAAAAGATGTAGTCATGTACCCCACCCCCTTGTATCCAAGACGCACAGTTTGAAACTGCATGATTCTACCCCTCCCTGAAGCCCAGAAACATGCCTTTCCGGGGTACAACAAGCACCAGGGACCCTCCCCGATCGTTCTGCTTTCCTTCTTTCCCGTCCAAGGCCTCCTCGTCGCCACTTCCCCATCCCCCCTTCCATCCCTGTCCCTGTCCCTGTCCCTGTCCCTGTCCCTGTCCCTGTCCCTGTCCCTGTCCCGTTGTCCTTGCTCCGCTCAACGACCCGACAGGATTTCATTTAACCCTCAGGTGCAGTCTATCATGCAGGTCGACGATCGCTGTGCCGTATACCAACTCATCGATGTTGCGACTCTTTGGAACCAGTCGTTCGATCTCATCAAATCGAATGCTTCTGATTTGATCCTCAGTCAAAAACGTCCTCGAGGTCGCCCAAAGGGCTCGAAAGACGCACATCCTAGGAAGCAAAAGCAGGGCTACACAGATATGAGCAAAAGGAAATTCTGTACTGTGCCAGCTGGTCACAACCAATGTGGCGACACAAGCAGCCCGTCGTCATCCGACGACCAATTGGCCGACGAGGCGCCGCAAAAGATCAAAGTTTACATCCCCAATCGCTGTCGCCAACGCACAGAAAAGCACAAGAAGCTGGTGGCAGAGATTGCAGTTATGTGCCAGCAGCTTTCGAGGTACAGGCCTGGCGGTCTTGTGCAGCAGAGCAGAGAAGATGTATTGGATACCGTCATGAAAGATCTGCTAGGAGAAGGGTGCCATTCGTGCGAGGCCTGCGGGAATTGCCGTCCGTGCCCCTGCACGTCGGATCGCTTCTATTCAAAGCAGAAAAGAGGTAGGGAGGAGGAACAAGAGGTTCCTACGACTACCTGCTCGACGTACTCAGAAGCCATTATCATGAACCGAAGCTAGATGCGCAAAAAGCGATCGACAGAAACATCGTCGAGGTGTGAAGTATTACAGTGTGTACTTTATGATGATAAAATAAACCCTTTCATTGAGCCTTAGCTTTATCTGGATTCATACTCCCGCAACATCTTCTTCAGTTCTGTCACGTTAGGGTCGTTGGATCCCTGCACACAAGTGAGGGTTGTGAAGAACGCAAGACCACCTCTAACAAGTTCAGCTTCCATCTCCCGAAGAGATGACTTGAGAGCTTCCATGACTCCGTCTTCTCCCTGCTTCTTCTCATCCTTGCAAGCAAGCTTCAGGTCGTCCACAGCATGTGCAGCACGGTTGACTTACAAAAGGTGAGAAGACCGCTTCCAGAGCGTGCGAATCTCCCCAGGTGTTGGCGAGCGACTCCTTGGACGGCGACTGCCTCATTCGCTGCCGGGCAGTGAGAGACCAGCACAAGGAACAACACTTGAAGGTCTTACCTGGTATTCAGGAGCTTGAGAAGCAGAGCTGGCGCCATAGTCCATCCTGACACCGCAAGTGAGACGCGGAATTGAGCGGAGAGGAAGACGACAGGGGGAGATATTACATGCTTCTCCCCTCCACTGCGCTCGACCCCGGTTCTATGTCCTCATACTCCGCGTTTTCAATCAGAACCTTGCAGAGTGGTAAGTTGAGAGCGAGTGGAGATTCCGTAAAGGTTGAGCCTCACATTGTAGAAGAAAATCCCGACTGAGTCAAAAAAGAAAGCAGGCCGTGGGCTGTTGTGATCTCCACCAAAGGTGATGATATTCTTGTCCCCAGCATATCTCTCATACAGTTGCTTGGAATGATGCGCAAGAACGAAATCATCGCCGTCAGCATGCGCAAACAAAGCCTGTCAACGATTCCACTATCAACCAACCAGCACGAAACATGCAGACTGTCAGTACACGAGCGTCTCTATCGACTCACCGGAATGAAGCACTTGTCGGCTGCGTCCTCTGGATTCACATCTCTGCAGATGGCAGAGAGGATCAGGAATCGAGACTTTCACTTCAATAGATTGGGATGCCTGATGTCGAAATTCCCCTTCTTCTGGACAGACTTGCGCAAGACGGAGATCGCACCGTTGATGAGAATCTTAGGCACTTTGACTTGTTTCATGTACTGGTTGGCGAGCTCGTACATGACTTGAGTCAGCGAAGAGAAGGCGCTGTCGAGTACCATTCCTGCCCATCGCATGTGAGCTAGAAATCTCTCCTGATCGTGCTTCTACCAGCGATGGAAGGATCCCGAGCAGCGACCAACACGCTCGTCGCCGCTCCCATGCTCCTCCCCCACAAGCCGATCCTCGAGACCAGTCCACTTTCACGCAAGTACTCGATAACGGCCAGCAGGTCGTCTTGCTCGTAGTAGCCCAGCGAGATGGTCTCTCCTGCTGGAGGTTCAGTCCCTCTCCTCTCGCTACTTCTCCTTGACTCACCGTCGGAGAGGCCGGAGCCTGAGAAGTCGAAGGCGAAGACTGATATCATCTGAGGGAGCAGCAGGTCGAGGCAGTCGCTGGCGTCTACTCTACTGCCACAATTTCCGTGACAGTAGATGACACACGGGAACTTGGTCGTGTGCCCAGCCCTCGTCCCCTCGAGCACAGGCATGTAGTGGCTGCACTTGAGACGTTGCCGACGCTTGTTCATTACCTACCTCCATGTCAAGGTGCCACCCGCACTCTCTACCGCTCCCGACCTCCACGTCCACCCGCTCGAACAGCCTTCCGTCGATCCTGAACCTCTTGGGTCCCAGCACCTCATCCGGATCGTAGCTGTACCTGCAAGAGCACCTTCATCGATCGTCCACCATCCTCCTTGCAGACCTCGGAGGCCTGCACACCAGATTGACCAGCGTCTCCCACACCATGAGAAAATGCGCAGAGCTGGAAAGCAGCCATGGAGGGGACATGCGAAGGAGGAAGTACAAAGATCATGTCAGTGGATGCAACCTGTATGTGTACCGACTATCTCCCTGCACCTGTCCCTCGGTTTTCGCTCTTCCAGTAAATCATCGTTGGAACTATCTACAACGTCCCCGCAGTCCCTCCAATCAGCATAGGTTCTTGACTTTGTTATGTCAGTTTCTCTTCTCTTGCCTTACCTCGCCACATCGTTACGATTAGAATACGATCAACATCTAAAACATCATTATCATTGCTTCCTATCCTGCCTCGATCCCCTCACTTTCATCCTCTTTCATCATCTCCACTACCTCTTCCTCTACTTCTACCTCCTCCTCCTCCTCATCTCCTAATCCTCCTCTCCTACTCCTCTCCTCCTCCTCCTCCTCCTTCCCCCCCCCTCCTCCTCTCCTCCTCCTCCTCCTCCTCTCCTCCTCCTCTCCTCTCCACCCATCGCTCTCCTCTCCACCCATCCCGTTGCCATCGTCGCTGTCTTGTCCGAAGTGGTGGTACCGAGGGTGCAGCGGGGTAGTGAGCAGGCAACTATGGGGTAGGGGTAGTATTCGAGTTTTGTTCTTTCAGTTAATAATAGAGTAAATAATTGCAAGAATGCACAAGTGGAAACTGGCCGCCATGGCAGCGGTCGCAGCGGCAGCGGCACGGGGCCTCGGGGGAGACATGGCAGGGTGGAGTTCCAAGGGACGATGCGAGGAGTCTCCCCGTCCCGAGCCCTACGACCTTGATGTGACCAAGGGCCCTGGGATCGCAGGGCTCCCTAGGTCCACCAAGGGGGCAAGGGACAGGTTTGTTCTGGATGCACAGACATTCCCTGACTACCAAGACTTCTCGGATTGGTCGAGCATCCTGAGGTGGAGGAGGAACGTGTCTCCTATCCCCAAGGTCGATCAGACAGCGCTCGACAGCGAGCTCCCAGTGCGCGAGCCTGACATGGTGGCACTCCTGGCCCCGCCGCAGGACATGATGCAAGTCACATGGATCGGCCATTCCACCGTCCTCGCGCAGTATGACGGGTGGAACGTCCTGACGGACCCCATCTTCAGTGAGCGATGCTCTCCCTCCCAGTGGGTCGGGCCCAGAAGGTATCGAAGGGTACCCATCCAAATACAGCAACTGCCCCCGATCCACGTAGTCCTTATCTCTCACAACCACTACGACCATCTCGACCTGCAGTCGGTCAAGGAGCTGTCTCAGCACTCACCCTCCTGTCTCTGGGTCGTCCCCCTCGGCATGAAGCCTTGGTTCGACGACTTGAGAGTGTCGAGAGTGGTCGAGCTCGACTGGTCGGAGGAGGTGTTTGTACGCGACAGGCTGGACCCGGGCAAGCAGGCCCTCCGTCTCGTCTCCATCCCCTGCCAGCACTGGTGCGCAAGAGGCATCTTCGATCGCAACAAGTGCCTCTGGTCCTCCTGGTACAGCACGACCAACCGCTCGAGCCTCTTCTTCGCCGGCGACACGGGGTTTAGCCCCATCTTCACCCGAGCTGGGAAGCTGCTGGGGCCTGTGGACGTGGCGCTGCTTCCCATCGGAGCGTACGGAGGGGAGGACGAGAGCTGGTTCCATCGACCCAACCACATGGAACCGGAGGAAGCAGTGCAGGCGCACGATGACCTCCTTTCGCGGCTGTCGGTGGCGATCCATTGGGGTACCTTCCAGCTCACGAGCGAGCCTGTCATGCAGCCCAAGGAGCGGCTGATGGCGGCGCTGAGAAGGAGGGACAAGAGGCAGGACGAGTTCGTGTGTCTCGAACACGGACAGACGATCCGAGCAAGCACGTCAAGCAAGTGAATATGACTGTAACTAAACCAATAAAACCTCTACACAAAGCCAACCAACCAGCAAACTACATGGGAGCATCCTGCTTCCTCCTTCCCCTACTCGCCCGATACCTGGACCATCGCTAGCTTCCGATAAGCTCCGTCGGGCTTCTGCATGAGCTCGCTGTGTGTCCCAGCCTCCACAATATGTCCGCGCTCGAGCACAACGATCTTGTCGGCGTTGCGGATGGTGGAAAGCCTGTGGGCGATCACGAGAGTAGTCGGTTTCGAGCTCATCGACTCGGTGCCAGAGGAGCAGATCTTGTCGAGCGCCTCCTGCACCACAGCCTCGCTCTTGGAGTCAAGCGCTGACGTCGCCTCGTCCAGGAGCATGATGTTTGGCTTCCGAATGACAGCGCGCGCTATTGCCACCCTCTGCTTCTGCCCACCTGACAGCTGGGAGCCTCTCGACCCGCAGTGAGTGGCAAATGCGTGCTGGAAGCCGGCGATGAAGTCATACGCGTTGGCGTCCTTGGCCGCCTGGACCTCTTCCTCGCTGGCCTTAGCCCATGTCGATGGATCATGTCTGGTATCGACCTCCTCCGCACTGGCCGCATTCCGGCGGAAGCATGACCTTCTCTGCTCGGCCACGACCTGCCTGTCAGGAGGTGCTCCGCGATCGGTTTCGGGCTTGACTGTCGATTTCACGCCATAACCGATGTTGTACTGCACGCTGTCGTTGAAGAGCATCGGCTCTTGCTGGACGAGCCCCATGTTGGATCGAAGCCAAGTCACGTTGAACTCTCGGATGCTCCTACCGTCTATCAAGATATCGCCAGATGACGAGTCGTAGAAGCGCTGCACAAGCTGAATCACCGTACTCTTCCCGCTTCCTGACTCTCCCACGAGGGCCACCGTCTGCCCGTTTTCAATCTGGAGAGAAAAGTCTTTGAGCACTTTCAACTCTGGATGCGAAGGATAGCTGAAGGAAACGCCTCGGAACTCTATGTTTCCAGAGATCGGAGCGTCGAGCTTCGTTCCGTTTTCGTCGTCCATGGGGTCTACGTCCGTTCCTTCATTGGAGCTGTCGATGAGGAAGAAGATGGAGCGCGCTGCCGCCTGAGCTTTGACATTGTCTGGCATAGAGCCTGTGATTCGACCGATTCCCTCGCTGGCAACCGTGAAGCCTAAGAAGACACGCATCATCGATTTGAAGTCGAGCTCCCCCCTCTTGATAAACTCTGAGCCTGACCAGAAAGTCAAGGCATACGCGTTCATCAAGACAAACTGCTTGAAGCCTGCGCCGATGCCCTGAATCATAGCTCGCCGCTTCCCTTCCTCCAATGGTTGGATGAGAGAATCGTCAAAGAGTGCCACCATGTCTTGCTGCAGATTGAAAGCGCTGACCGTCCGGATCGCCGTCACCGCGTCCCCCAGGATCTCTCCACCTCGCTCTGTGGACTTGTTCGCGGTCTTAGTCTGACGGGTGAACCTCTTGAATTCGAAGACTGAGCCGGCAATGAGCAACGGAAAGATAGCCGTCAGAATGAGCGCGAGCCTCCAGGATGCGGTGTAGCCAATGATCAGCGCAGTTACAAGGGAAGAGAACCCTTCCAGCATCAGCCCTAGAGAATCTCCTGTCGCCCCTTTCACGAGGGTAGCATCGCTTGCAAGTCGAGTGGTGAGCCTACCGACGGAGTTCTTGGGGTCGTCGAAGAAGGACATGGTCTGCCGGAGAGTAGATTGGAAGGATAGGAAGCGAAGCTTTCTTGTCAGCTGCTCTCCAAGACCCACAAAGATGGCAATCCTCGTCAAGGCAGCAAGCAGAGCACAAGAACCCAACAAGAAGAAATATCCAACATAATTGTTGATCCCGGCCCGCAATGCATTATCATCGGGATTGAAGTACGTGTAAATGATGGATGAATACAACAAGGCAAAGATGGGCTGAATGGTTCCACTAGTAAGTGACCCAAGGCAGCCAATCACGATCAACGGCAAGTTATCCTTCTGCAGGTCCCATATGCGCGATAGAGGGACAGGAGGTAGCTCCTTTGCTTCCTCTAGAAGAAGTTGCTCACTGTTCAACTTCGCATCCTTCCCTTCTTTCTTCGTCTTCTTGCCATCGGACTTCTCATTCTCTCCTTCCGACTGCGTCCGTTTCAGGTCATCGGATCCATCCAGCGCAGATTCGACATGAGCTTTCTGCTCCTGGTGCGCCAGATCTTGTATGGCTCTCATTGCTTTGTACAGACCTTCCCCTTTTGCCATCAGTTGAGTGTGAGTTCCCATCTCAACGATTTTCCCCTTTTCCAACACAACAATCTTTTCGCAATTGGTCACAGTTGAGAGCCTGTGCGCAATCATGATAGTTGTGCATCTATGGTTCTGATCCTTGTACAGAAGGTCATCTAGAGATTCCTGGACAATCCTTTCACTCTCCGAGTCTAAAGCCGAGGTTGCTTCATCTAGCAGCAGAATCTTCGGATCCTTTACGATTGCTCTTGCTATGCAGATTCGTTGCTTCTGTCCACCGGAGAGCATTACAGATGAGACAGAGGTGCCAGCCAGAGTATGATATCCCTCAGCAAGTTTGCAAATGAAATTGTGAGCGTTTGCAGCTTTTGCTGCCTGAATACATGCATCTTCGATCTTCCCTTCAATTTTTCTCGTCAGAACATCTCCCTGACGAAATTGTGGGGCGCCCATAGCAATGTTTTCAATTACTGATGCACCGAACAATTGCGGCTCCTGTTGCACAAGGCCAATTTGATCTCTCAAATTCGTCAAATTCCAATCCTTCACTTCCACTCCATCAATCAACACACTTCCTTCTACAAGGTCATAGAATCTCTCAAGAAGCCCGATGATCGTACTCTTGCCTGACCCAGAGGGTCCAACCAGAGCCACAGTTTCTCCCGGCTCGATTGTAAGGCTGAAATCTTTCAACACCACTTGATCCGGCCTTGACGGATAAGCAAACGTACAATTCTTGAATTCAATCTTTCCCTTGATTGTGTCTTTGTGCCCTCCTTCTGAAAAGGAGTCCACGGTAGGAACCGTGTCAATAATTTCATAGATTTCTGCTGCAGCCTGCCGAGCTGCAACAACATTACCGAACGCAGGACCGACGGCACCAAGGGTCACAGAAGCCAGCAACACTGTAGAAGGAATCAGCACGAGTCACATGCAAACAAGAGAAAGAATACCAGCAACTATGGTTTGCACGATCTTGCCTCCAGTGAAGCATTCCGAATTGGTAGCTTGAGCGGGATCTCTGCAGAAAGGATGCGCTTCTCTGCTTTGTAGGATGAACTGACCGCCCGCGTACGTGCTCAAAGCGTACATAGCATACATCGAGAAAAGCATAAGACCGACGGCAAACCCAGTTCCATAGCCTTTTTTCTTCCCTTGCTTCTCAGCATCAGCCAAGAACTTGTCATATCTTGAAACTTCATGCCTTTCGCCCGAGAACGCTGTCACTGTACGGATCATAGCGTACACTTCTGAGGCCACATCGCCAGCTCTGGCGTATGCCTTCTGCGAAGCTGCCTCTCCTGTACTCACACTGGCAACCAAGATACCAATCGCAATCGCAAAAAACGGTGCGCAAGCCATCATCACCAGCGTCAACTTCCAAGACGTGTAAAACCCGATCGAGAATCCTACGATCAATGTACAAAAAGACCTCGCCACTTGCGGAAACTTTTCCAATCCGGCAGACAAAGCAAGAGTAGTCTCAGCTAGTTTGGAAGTAGCCTCACCCCCCCTGTGCGTATCATAAAACCCAATATCCTGACGAAGCAGAGACCGCATGTACTCGTGCCTCACTCGCATCAAGATGTGTTCTGAAACAAAAACAGAGCCATAGTTCTCAACGAAACTACCCAGACCAGAGATGCACGCGATTCCCACAAAGAATAGACATAATTGCTGAATTTGATTTGCTTGCTCCACAAGGCTTGAGCTGCCACCAAGCTATGGAATGAGAAAGGAAGGGAGAGAAAGAAAATGTCAGGAAGAATCACATAAGCAATCGAAAACAAGATAACTCACAATATTGATCAAACGACCGTAGAGCAATGAAAATGACGGCAATGCACTGCCGACAACCACTGAACAAAAACATGAGAAACCGTAGATAATCCTCTCTGTTGTAGTAGCATATCGCCACAGCTGAGAGAAACTGACCATCTTCTTTGCCTTCTTCCCTTCATCTTCCTTGGTGTCAGATGTACTTTTAGACTCAGCATCTGGGTCTGACACGCTGCCCTTCCTTGCATCGACTGCGTCGGATTCGTGATCAAGGGTATACACCTTGGTCATCTCAAGTTCGTTTTCGAAGCTTTTCTTTGAGTGACCGTTTAAATACCCATTGAAGTGACCGTTCGGTATGTCTTCACCACGAGAATTGCCATTCACAGCAACGACGAAATCAGATTGCACAGTTTTGCAGTCACTTCCATTCCCTCGCATGTTTCACAGGAAACCCCGATGCCCAACCATAAGTCTGCTGTCCTTGGGGTGGAAACAAGCAATCGATTCTAGATAAAAACCAAACACTGACTCTTGAGAATTTCTCCACCTTAATCGAGGTTCAAGCAAACCGATAGGTAGGGAAGGATAAGACTTAAGTTTCTGACGCCCGATGTAACACCTCCGACCCCAATCAGCCGACAAGTTCTCGATCCCCGCTCAAAGACGAGAGAACAACCAGAAGGCTCAGCGATGGGCAGTCAGATTTGAGGAGGAAGGACCCACGTGGGGATGAAGAGCAAGGAGAGGAACCCCTTGGGGGTGAGTAGCGGAGCAGGTCCGGTCTGGCAGGGTTGAAAGGCTTGAAGCTGACAGGGTGAGTGTACGAGCAGGTTGAACTAGGATAACAGGGGTGGTAAGTGTATTTCATGGGGTGGATCGCGTTCAAATTAGGGGTGGTCATCTGGTCTTTGATAAGGTGGGGTGCGAAGGGGGTAGGGTGGTGTAATTTTAACAAGGGGTAGTTGGTGGATCAAGGGACCAGTTGAAGATATTATGGGGACGTGCAGGACAAAAATAAGGGGCATGGACCCCACCTTCTCCCTTGTGAGTATATCCTCTTCTAAAGGGTAGGGTAGTACACCGGAACTCCGAAGGATTTGTTGGGTGGGGTAGTTCAGAAAATTGCAGGGTGGGGGGTGACAGGGTAGTGTTTTGATGCCTCCACAAAGTGTTTAAATAAAATGTTATATAAGTAAATATTTATTTTTTGTTCATATCCATCGTGGAATTTCTACACTGATGTGATAGAATCTGGTACAACATAAATGTATTTATAGAATGAATTGTTGCATCAACAATTTTGTGCAGGAAGGTTAGCAATTTGTCGTGAGGGTGGGGTATTTCTTTCGACAATCAAAGGGGGTGGGGGGGGCGCTTGATGTTTCCTGGTTGGTCTAGTGGGGTGGGGTGGGTAGTCTTGTTTGGTTTGTGTGATGTGTTGTTGTAAAATTGGTACTTCCTTTCGCATGTGCCGAGGCTCGTAAAAGATTGGATTATTGAACTACTGGTTTGTGGGTAGGGGTGGTTCACATGAAGATCTGGCTCAGGTGGGGTGTATGACACCACAATCGGAAGGAGGGGGTAGGGGAGACGAGACACCCAGGGCTTGGTGTAAGTTAGTTTAGGATATACATAAAGGTAAAAGGCCAAGGGCCTGGGGGTTGCAAAGGTGGGGACGCGTGGGGGGACGTGAGTTCGAGAACCCTCGAGCGATCGGAGGGGTGGGGTATTTTCCTTCCGGGGGTGGTCATTGGTCAAGCTTTGATGACAGAGTCACGTCTGTTGTCATGTATCAAAGAGTCTTTGCAAATTTCAACATCACTGAGTAAATTTCAAACATGATTGAAATGAAAGGTATTCTCATTCCAACTGTTCCCCCAAAGGAGAGCATTTCGAAGACATCCGAACTCTCGTCACGGGGATTTGCCATGGCTGGGACTGAAAGGGCGTACGAGTCCAAGGGGTGATATTGACTGAATGTGCATGGGTAGGGGTGGTCATTCTCCGTCTCGGCTCGTGATCTATGTGCGTGACAGGAGCAAAAAATGCACCATGACTGACCCTTGTCCCCCTGTCCGCGAAACCCCTTAATAAGCATCGCTGCCCTTGTAGCATGCAAGAAATCTTCTTGATGAAACTATGTTTATCTTTTCTGTCCTTTGAAAAGGCACTAATAATAAGCGAGGCGGACTTTTGAAATCTTTTCAAGCCCCACCCCACCCCACCGTCTGATACCAAGTGTGTATCTCGGATTTGGCCGAACTTGAGTATGTCACGGGACAGACTGTTCTCATGTAAAAATTCTACTTTTGACCATGGCAGTCTCAGATGGCAGACTCTCGATGGGAGGCTGGTCTGAGGGTGGATGAGAGAAAATGCGACGCCATAAAGATTACCTGAGGTGGATGGAGGAATCAGCAACCCAACATGGGAACACTGAGTGTGAAATGTCAGGAGACGGGCATAGAATGTTGCAGTGTAGAACATGAAGGAGATACACATGTTACCTTTATGCAACGGTTGATGCAACGGTTGATCTGTATTCTATGTTGTTTAATGCGATAGTGTAGGGAACAGTGACCTGCTTTATCTTAACCAATTGCGAAAGCTCAGGTTGAGGTGCACCAAGGAAAGCAAAGGCACACTTTGCTTCGTGTTGCTGCTGCTCTTGGTCATCTCAGTAGACATGTCACTAAAATTGTGCGGTTGTTTGAATGAAAGAGATTGTCCTTTGTGCGTGAAAGTGAATCTCAAGACCCTTGGCATGCATTCGAATGACTTCTGAATCAAGAAAAGATGAGGCGTGATAGACTTTCCGAGAGTCTGGTTACACTGAATGGGGAGATGTCCTCGAGCGCACAGGAGATAGGAGAGCCAAGTTGTAAAAAAATCAAGAGAGTGTCGCCTTGCTTTTGGTCAACTGTCATGAATCACGATTGAATGTCTGATTCTGGGTTGTACATGAGAGGCCATTTCAATGGAGAGCAGGTAGAATGTCGAGAGGCGGTTGGCAGCGTTTTGAGACCCAAAGAGGAGTCTCGCGCATGTATCCGTTGGCAACGTCAACTTCCTGGTTGGTTGTAGAGACTCACAGGCCGATTGCAGCAAATCGAAACTAGGAATACCTCATGCTGTCCAAACTGATCCTCTTCAAGATACGCATACATTCTCCTGGGGATGCAAAGATGACCAACAGAGAGCAGAGCAGCTTTGCTCACCAGGAGTTGTGGCACCGGATCTGCTCCCTTGCCAGGAGAATGCTGTAGCGGAGGTAAGGAAAAGAGATATTGATCTCAAGTTGAACCTCAAAGCTGCTTGTTCGAACCGATGGGTCGATTGGGAGGCTCCTTCAGGAGCAATACATGATCTTCTGCTCGCACACGCGACAAGAGGATGCAAAACCTGCCGTTGTACCTTTAGAAGGTTCAAGAGTGGGCATGACGAGAAGGAATCATAGCTGAGTGAGGAGCAAATGAAGACTGGTTCGCGAATAGGTGTTTCAGGTGGATGTTGTCTGAATCGGCTCACATTTTGAACTGCAATGCTTGAGTTTGACATCCCGAGGATGCCAGCAGCGCACATGTCATACCCTTTGACAGATTCCTAAAGGCAGAGATTATTCTTGCATGCATGCAATTGAATGTTTGCCAAGCCTGGGATATGTTCATCTCGCCAAACATCTTTGGATGGACCTGATGGCTAGGCGGTCACATGAAGAAGTAGATTTGATGAAGCTTACAAAGTTCGGCAAAGCTCTTTCTTGCTGGATGGTGAAGAAATATCCATCTCTCTGAATGAGACTCCATGCCAAATCGATCGGCTGCCCCAGCTCTCATCAGGAGAACAACCAGCATGAAACTGAGAGGCAACCTGCTGGACAACTTGACCAGCATCCTGGAAGATGACCTTCAAACAATGAGTGAGTGAGTCTTAAGTCGAGCACAAATCGATGCGGACAGTACATTCTCCACTCGTTGCAATGCATCCGAGAGAACAAAAGGTTTCCACGCCTTCCATCGTTTGTTCTGCACATGAGCTCCCAACTTGTCCCATTGTAAACCCATCAGCTCTACATTCTCTGACATCCACATCTCATTCTCTCAGTACAAAGAGGTCAATGTCACGCACTCCACGCGAAGGAATTTTCCCTTTCCATATCGTTTAGTCCAAGATCATACAGAAAAATCTGTGCCCTTGTCAACTGCATGCTCGGTACACGCTATCTATTCGACTTCACCTTCACCCGCGGATGATGCCTGTGGACTGATCCGACGAAGTTGGAAACACAGCCGAAATACAAAGAATTGGCTGCAGTGACAATTGCCACCTTCTCCGAGGCTGTACTGAATGATTGACATGGAGAAGGATGCACTCAAACATAACAAGACCTAGATTGTCGATTGAGCGGTTTGGCAAGGTTCTCCCTTTCAGCAATGATCTTTCTGCCTCGTTCAACACGACCCCTAATTGTCAATCGCCATCTCGGTCATTTCAAACATCACAAACCAATCAGCAAGTATTAACCATGTTCGATCAGTCCCAATAATTGTGGCGCAATCCACAAATCCTTTCTATCCATTCGCCTTACACCAAAGTAAGGTCGATACCCACCTCGCAAGACAACTGTACATTGCTGCCTTTAACGACCGATGAGCCAGATCTATGCTTCCTACTTTTCGCATTACATATGCAATGTGAGAAAAGATCCCAGGCTATCAGAATTACGGTTTAGATAAACACTTCAACCCCAAAAGTTTTCTCTACCAATGAATGGTCCACCAAACAGGCAAGCTTGAACGCACGCAGTGCCTCATTCCATCTTTTCAGCTGCAAAAGAACTTTCCCTTCACCTCCAAAGTCAAGGAATCCAGCTCTTCTCCTTAGTAATTTCTACCTCGCCTGTACTCCGTCGCAGGATGCCCCGAAAACAACGGAGCTTGAAGCACGCTGAGAGCTTCTTGAAGCTACAGCACGGGTCAAGAGTGGATTCAACCCAAAAAAGGAGAAGTCCTACCCTCCCTTCAGCTTCTGCCTGAAACGATCGACGAATGACGGATTCAACCTGTTGCATCACAAGTTCCTGCAGTATGATCTCAGCCAGCTATCTGAGCCGCGACATCTCACCTCATGACTCTCGGTTGTCGATATCAATGGATACATGCAGAGCAGAAGCACTGCTAGTAAAGACGGAGATTGCGAGCCCATGTTCGTTTTCGTTTTGTTCTGTCTTCCCGGACAGCGGTCAGTGCCACCCTCACGACAAACTTCCAACAAACGAAACAGTTTCAGGCGGGATGGGAATGCCGGAGAGCAGCAGAAAAGAAGTCAGCTCACGGCACCCTCGGCTCAGCACCGGCATCGTCTTTCATCGAATCTTCTGCAACTTGTGATATCCCCCGCTAATGGATGCTCCTCTCCTACCACCGCGACCCTGCCATGGTGCCATACAGATGCGATCCTGGTTCTGATCAATTTTTTTGTAACGACTTTTAACGATACATAACGTCACAATGAAACGGCCCGTGGAAGATGAGGAGTATGAGGGCGATGCAAGGCTATCCGTACCTTGTGCCCAAAATAGGCGCAGCCCTGTAGGTCCTGATACCGCTGCCGCAATGTTCGCGCTCCTGAGAGAGGCCGGCGAGGCGAAGACGCAATCCCTGGTGAGGTTTCGATGCCAACCCCTTGTAGGTCTCGGACCGTGCTCTACCGCATCATTACTCACTGCGGCCCACTGGCCCATGCCGCCGTAGTCACCTCATAAGTGTCGGATCGGACCTTATGTTCTAGTAGGCTAGTTCTATGCCCTTTTCTCTCTTATCTCAGCACTCAGTGATTGTTGAGAGCTTGAACATCTTTTTCATTCGAGTGGGGTGACACCTGCCTTCTGCATCTGAAAGAGACTGATGAGATACAGCCATGCATGTTGCTTTGATCTGTTACATCTCTGCCAGTCATCCGGGCCAATGTCATCATGGCAACCTTTGAACAGTTTTCCTCTCTCTCCTCCCCGAGTCGGGTCCTCTCATGTTCTCTCCTCTGCCCCCCCCCTCCCCCCAACATTTCTTCCTTGTATTTGTTTTGGTATCCGTTGTATATTGGATTCAATGTTCAGTGATCATCGGATTGCATGTTAGATCTTTCTCAAAGAGGTGTGGATTGTAGGACTACATGCTTTGTGAGAATGCTGGCTTTTGAATACGGAGTGACGAATATCTACAACGCAGTGCTTCGGCAGTGGATGCTATGCCCCAAATAACCATCAATGGTGATCCTTTCCTTTGTTAAGTGACATGGATGCGTAACTGTTTATTGACACAGGTACAAGTACAACTGGTATAAGTACGCTGGTCCTGGATCCAACCCAACACCAACCATTCCAGCCGCCAACAGCCAGAGACAGTAAAGATCTTTATCAGCCTGAATAAAGCTTTAGCTTCGTAAAATCTCATCAAACGAAAAGGAAACCTCTACTCTGCTCTCTCAAGTGAGATACGAATTGGACCCCGTTTCAAGTGAACCCGTCTTTTCATCATGTATTCAGTGAGTTCAACGAGAAAACTTCTTGCGTACAAGTGTAGAAGTTGTGATTTAAGGCCCACTCGAATCCTGTCCAAAAAAAAAAAAAAAATTTCGCGTGTTCTTTCTCTCGACATGTTAAAAATTTGCTTGTAATATCAACATTCAAAGCTTTTCAGAATCATGACAAGTAATCCGTTTGGAAGACTGAGAAAAATAAAAAGAAAATCATCCGCGAATGTGCTATAATAGTGCGAGATGTCAGAGAAACATACCAACTTGCCAGATGTGTTGTTTGATTCTGGGGAGTGTCAACACCAGACATCCAAAGTCAAGATTGTTCCTTGTTAACAAAGCAGGCTGGTCGCATTAGAGGTCTATAGAATTTGTCGCTACGAATCTTCAAATTCCACTTTCCTGATTTCATCACAAAATTCTCTAAAGATTGGTCCCATGAATGCTTGTAGAGCATCAATCATCGTGTTCGACCAAGGCAGATCTCTCCAAAAGTTGGCCTGCATTATTGCCGCGACTGAATTTGTCTGATTTCTCGCCAAATTGCTGGAACTTGGCAGGAAATTGCAAAAAGAGGTGTAGTGTGAATTCAAAAAGCCAGAGAGCCTCCGAGAGCAAGACCATGCGGCACCTTTCAGTTGAAGGAAATATTGTACCAACAAGATTTTGGCATGAGAATCTTATTAGCAGATGAAACATTGCCCTCCTTTCAACTCAGTAGCCCAAATCTCTCATTCCAGGTAGATTCATTCGATAATCGATCTAAGAGGAATCCTTCACCGGACCCGCCGTCTTTATAGCTATAGGATCTTGAATCAAGCTGAGCGCTGGAGATCTTGTTTCACAACACTTCAACAGCTACTTCAAGTCCTCTCCATGTCACAATAGATGCTGAACTCTCCTCGCTGCATCTAGCTCACCCCGATCGCTCCCGACAAACACGACAAAGTTGATGTTAACCAGAGTAGCCGGTGAACCATGATTCATTCTAGAAGACCTTGTCCAAATTTGAAAACTACAGACTATCAAATGAAATTTACAACAATTTGAAATTGTTGACGATTGTTCGCTGCGCTTGAAGAGTTTTTCTACAAATTTTCAACATCTGATTAACATTTTGAAATGTCATTCCCCTGGTACTCATGTTGACTAGGGGTCCTTTTGAAAGTAGGGGTTCTATGAGCCTTACGGGGGTAGTTTCATAAGGAACTATGTAGCTGCCTCTGGGGTAGGGTGATAATATATGAGCAAGGGGTAGTGGAGAAGGTTTCCAGCATGGAGGGGTGGGGTACGTGTACTACTAAGTTGTCCCTTGAGAGCGCCTCTTCGTATCGCAGCTAGGTAAACCATGGCAGCAGCGATGGGACGAAGACTCCTCCAGGTATCCTCTATGCTTTATTGTTCGTCTTCATCGCTTCGTATCATTCTTCGTTCGTCTTCTTCAAGTCCAGATGACCTATGTTCGTGTACGATTCGATTATGGTTGAGACCTTCGAACGGGAAATAACAAGCCTCGTTCACAGTGCTGTTGCTTTTGTGTAACCTTAGATTCTTGTGAAAATTGTGTTGTATCTGACTTTCATTCGCCTTGAAAGATGAAAGCAATGTTCTCTTTCTTGTGTTCTGTTCATGATGAAAATTTTGAACTGAATCCCTCGAATTGTAGGAGGCAGAGCAAGCAGCGGCAGAGCCCACTGTCACCTTCCCCGATGACTACCCCAACTCTGTCCGCCACTTCCTCCTCATTGGCTTCTTGGGCATGTTCATCGGAGCCATTGTGTTCTTCTACATGGGCATCTCCCGCAAGGTCAACACCGTGATGCACGTGTTGACCTTCTTCATCGCTGCGGTCTCCGCATGCTCCTACTACGCCGAGTGGGCTGGTCTCGGAGTTGAGTACAAGACCACCGACACCACCCCCCGTGTGATCTTCTGGGCCCGCTACTTGGACTGGGTTGTCACTGGACCGGTGAGGAGGAGGAGGAGGAGGAGAATGTGGGAGACTGACACAGTGCCGGGCAGCTCATCCTCACCGACCTCGCCCTCCTCTCCAAGTCGGACACCCCAACCATCATCTCGCTTGTCGGCAACATGGTCCTGTACGTGATCTGCGGCCTCATTGGAGCCCTCACCGTCGCCCCCTACAAGTACATGTGGTGGGTCGCTGGATTGATCTTCTTGATCATCGTCTTCATGCTCCTCCTCCAGCGCCTCAACAACGCTGAGGGCTATGGCGGTGACGCTCTCAAGGGCCTCACCTGGCTCACCATCTTGGTGTGGATCGTATACCCCATCGTGTGGATTGTTGGCTCCGAGGGAACTGGCGCTCTTGGACTTTCCCAGGAGGTCGGCATCTTGACCATTGCGGACTTGATTGCCAAGATCGGCTTCGGCTTCTACCTTTTGGCGAACGTTGATGCTCCTGAGAGCGAGACTGTGCCCCTTAACCAGTCCTCCCAGCAATATGTTTAATCAGTAGCCTAACGTTTCATTAGACTGGAATGCTTTAGATTTCACTCGGCACTTATGTGGTGCTGTCGAATCCCTTTTTCGCTGAAATATTAAACTTCAAGACGTTACATGAGATGTTGAAAGTTTGAACAATTGGATCAGATTGTTGTTGGTTGATGATATTGCGTTTTAACGAATGAGAGTACGCTAAAACTGTATGTGGTGATTGAAAGGGTTCAATCAAGTCTCGAAGAGATTGAGCAAATTACATGCTTCTGTATAATTCTGAGCTCAATTCATATGTTGGCAAACCGACCTTTGGCAATATTGACGTGATGCGATTCTCGAAATGCGATGTTTCATTCCTAACTACGCTTTGGTGAGCTGCAGTCTCTCAGCAAAGCTGAGAGCGGTTTTCTGAACGACAACAAATGTGAAAGCTTTGTTTTTGAGTAGGTATGCATAATCGCTTTTGTTTTCCAATGTAGTGTCATGAAGATCTCGTATCGGAGGAAACTGCTCACCAACCACGCGACTACCAGTGTTCTTGCAGTCGTATTTTCATTCACCGCCCTTTCAATCAATATACAACCCTCTATACCATTATGGCTGTAATCTATGGAAAACAATACATCAAGTGGTTCAATTTTTCTTCGCTTTAGACGTACTGCTGGGAGGACTGGTTAAGGGGCACAGTCTCGCTCTCAGGAGCATCAACGTTCGCCAAAAGGTAGAAGCCGAAGCCGATCTTGGCAATCAAGTCCGCAATGGTCAAGATGCCGACCTCCTGGGAAAGTCCAAGAGCGCCAGTTCCCTCGGAGCCAACAATCCACACGATGGGGTATACGATCCACACCAAGATGGTGAGCCAGGTGAGGCCCTTGAGAGCGTCACCGCCATAGCCCTCAGCGTTGTTGAGGCGCTGGAGGAGGAGCATGAAGACGATGATCAAGAAGATCAATCCAGCGACCCACCACATGTACTTGTAGGGGGCGACGGTGAGGGCTCCAATGAGGCCGCAGATCACGTACAGGACCATGTTGCCGACAAGCGAGATGATGGTTGGGGTGTCCGACTTGGAGAGGAGGGCGAGGTCGGTGAGGATGAGCTGCCCGGCACTGTGTCAGTCTCCCACATTCTCCTCCTCCTCCTCCTCCTCCTCCTCCTCACCGGTCCAGTGACAACCCAGTCCAAGTAGCGGGCCCAGAAGATCACACGGGGGGTGGTGTCGGTGGTCTTGTACTCAACTCCGAGACCAGCCCACTCGGCGTAGTAGGAGCATGCGGAGACCGCAGCGATGAAGAAGGTCAACACGTGCATCACGGTGTTGACCTTGCGGGAGATGCCCATGTAGAAGAACACAATGGCTCCGATGAACATGCCCAAGAAGCCAATGAGGAGGAAGTGGCGGACAGAGTTGGGGTAGTCATCGGGGAAGGTGACAGTGGGCTCTGCCGCTGCTTGCTCTGCCTCCTGTTATCCAAAAAAAAACGAGGAAGATGTCAAATGGTGTTCAAACAAACGATACAAGGCAGAGGAGCACTTCGAATCTCATCATGTACAGCACAAAAAGTGATTGGTGTCTTCAAAAATCGTAACAGACAGCATTCAAAAGATTCAAAGGAGGCAAGATTCTGGACGCAGTCATGATTGTATCACATTACAGAAGAGCTTCAGTAAAGTTGCAGGATATTGAGGATGAGGTCACAAAAAGCATCGTAGAATCCCCAAAGGTCAACGCTGAACAGTCTCATCTCGATAGAGCAATGTGAAAGATGAAGAACAAATGCGAGATGCTTTCTATCATGAAAACAAATACACATGTTATTGCCACAACAAAAAACATGTTGCCTCTGCCCATAGCGCTGTGCGTACCTGCAGAAGTCTGCGCGCGTGCGACATTGCCTGTTCTTGCATGGTCTGCATCGTCTCGATTTAGAACTCCGAAGAGCCGGACCTTAAAAACTTGAAGAGTACCCGTCATTGAAAGCAGAAATTCCTGGGTGGGTCCGATGACCATCAAGCACGCCCGCCTCACTGTTTTCACTTTGCCTGGCGGATGCCGGCAGACCGGTTTTCTGCTGAGTGACCGGCCCCCGTTCCAACAGAGAGCGCAATGGCGGAGGGAGGGAGGAAGGGAGTTTGATCCAGGCGCAGATACTTCACACACTGCAGCTCACTCTTGATCTGCTCGACATAACTGGGATGAAGGTCGTGAGGTTTCCCCTGTTGATGCTGTGCATGATGGAGTTCTTCGGATGCACCCACGGTTTTCACTTGAACTTCGGCGATAGTCTAGGAATTTCAGCAGGTGTCGCACACCAGTCATCGTTGAAGTGCATTGTTGGGAGCAAGCGCTTTCGAATCTGTCAGAAAATGAGACCTAGTCTGTCTCAGGCCTTGCAAGCCAGCGACAGGTAAGTGGTATGCAAAGGAGATCCCTAGAGTGAAGAGGTGATCAGGTCGGGAGTAGACACAAACCATGCCAAGAAATCAGAAGCGTATCAAGGTTTGTCTGAAGAGCGAATGTTGGGGTTCAAAAATGATTATCTCACAGCTGCGAAAGCTGATCAACTCGCACCGTGCATCATCCTTGTTCGTCCTTTCCTCGATCAGAACGTAGGGTCGACAGCTCGGAGTATGCTCAACTTCGGCCTCTCAAACCTCCGACTTGTTTCCCCCGTCTGCGATCATCTCAGCGACGATGCGCTTGCTCGGGCAGCGGGGGCCAGAGACGTTCTTCAGAACGCTCGCGTGTTTCCGAGTGTGGAGGAGGCTGTGGAGGACTTACAGAGTGTGTTCGCCACGACGGCGAGGCTAAGAGATATGCAACATAAGGTCAGCCTCCTTAGCTGAACTTCTCTCGTTCAGAGCATCTGTATCATCTGGTTCCTACAGCTTTCCTTCCATCCTCCTCTTGTCCTTCTGCCGTTCTCACCGCCCGAACCCACGTGACATCCTCTCCACAGGTCCTGTCGGCGGAGGACGCGGCCAGGGAAGCGATTCACATATCCTCGCAGTCTTCGCAGAAGACAGGGTTCTTGTTTGGGCCGGAGAGCAGCGGATTGTCGAACGCTGACCTCGCGCTCGTGGACTGCATTGTCCAGATCCCGACCAACCCTTTCTTCTCCAGCCTCAACCTGGCACAGTAAATCGCCGGATTGTTGTTGTTGCGATGACGTTTGTTTCAGGGCAGTCAATCTTATTTCTTATGAGTACCAGAAGGCAAGAAACTCCTATAGCAAGACTGTTGGCGATCAAGCGTTCTCCCTTCAAGTTTCTGACAAGAGCATCGGGCCAAAAGACAACATTGCAGACAAGAAGCTCCTTCTTGATTTCTTCACACGTCTCGAGGTAACTCGTGAGGCTTTTTGCGTATTGAATTTAATGGACGATGATAGGAAGCTATGAATGATAGCGAATTTGTTGTTGATGCCTCTAAACGAGAGATAGTCTACCAGAATATCAGAAATGTTTTTCTGCGTTCACAGGTGTGTTTTGTATCAGACTCCTGTGTGTGAAACTGATCTCTTTGATACGAACATTAGATGACAATTAGAGAGGTTGGTACTTTACAAGGAGTTGTGACGGCATTGACCGGCGGAAAGAAACGAAAGCGAGATTGACAAGTGTCGGGATGATCCGGGGCCTCCCCCTGGCATCGGAGTGAGAAATTCAGGCTACTTGTAATTTTGATCATGAACATTTGGGATACATCTCATTGAGACTCCGAGGCTCTGAAAGGGCTCTTACCTACCTCACCACCTCCAGCTCCGAGTCACCAGCTGCTCAGTCCGACTCTCAGTCATTCAAGCTCAGTACCGTTTGCTCACAGCAAGCTCCTTGCCGACGGTCCGAATGAGCCCGCCTCCGACCGCCCCGCCGTGAACGGCCCCCGACGCTCATTACGGCCCGGGCCCGCTTCGGCGGATCGGGCCGTACAATCCATGGCAGGATGCAGCGAACAAATGCCGCAGTGCTGTGGAGGTCTCAGCCGGAAAGAGAGGGAAGGGGGGGGGGAGGGGAGGAGGAGGAGGAGGAGGAGGAGATGCTGGAACAGTCGATCCCTGGAGATCCATCACGGTTTCGTCTGTCTCGGATATGCAACGGGAGGGGAGGCGGACTGATCTCCGTTTGACCGCTGCCCTCAATATGACCACCGAAGAGAGGAAACTGGGTGAGGATAGGATCCTTTGTCCTCTGCTCTCCTGCTCTCCTGTTCCACTGTGCTCCTCCTCCTCGCGCCTCCTGCTCACGGGCCTCTCCTCCGCTTGCCTTGTACATCCACGCTTGTCGTAGCTGCAAGCCCTGGGCCTGAGCTTGCATCATGGCAAGAGCAGCAGGGGCATGGAGCAAAGGAAGAATCTCGATAGGCCTTGTTGCCTTTCTGGTTTCCATAGCAGGGGCGCAGAGAGCGAGGATCGAGCAAGGGAAGAGGAAGGCTTCATCTCAGTTTCACCTTATGGTTGACCTGCAAGTCTGCGGTACACAGCAGTGGCTGGATGTATCTGGAGCCTCTTGCAAACCTTGCCAGCCAAAAAGCTGTCAGCCGTCAGAGTACCTCAAGAACTGCACGTTGACATCTGATTACAAATGCGTGAGTTGTGTTGGTTCCGACAAGAGCTGTCAGTCGTTGCAAACCTCCGCAAGTTCTTCGAACAAGACTATGGTAGTAATCGTCATTGTCGGAAGCATGCTGGCTGCTGTTTGCTTGATCGCAGTTATCTGCTGCTCGCTTCAATTTTCCTACATACCACAGTGCAGAGATCTTATCGACAAGTTCTGGAGAAGAAACAATGGTGAAGCACCCACAGTAAGTTGAGTTGGTGCACGCGCGACAAGCAACGTCGATTAAGCTTTCACAGGAAAGTCTTGAACGATCCTCCTCCATCTCGCAGGAGGTCTCCAACGTTTGGCAGCATGACAAAGAGATCGCTGATCTCGAGATTTCTTTGCATTCTGTGGCGTCCAACACGGACGACAGGACGGACGCGGGCATGTGCCAGGTGACTTCTCAGCTCGCTGACCTGGTTACTGACCCCCTGCAGCTGTGCTTGGAGCGAGATCGAACCGTTGTGGTGTTCCCCTGCAAGTGAGCCTCCTCCCTGCTCTGTGACAGGATTCTGATCATCTTGACTGTGTCAGACATGCCTGCCTGTGCAGCGAGTGCTTCGAGAGCGTGATGAATAAGGACAGAAAGTGCGTTGTTTGCAGGAAGGACATTGAGTCCCACCAGGTGGGGAGGGGAGGGGAGGAGAGGAGAGGAGAGGAGAGGAGAGGAGAGGAGAGGAGAGGAGAGGAGGGTGCAAGACGTTGACTTGTCCATCAGGTTGGCAACTTCACTCGTACGTTCCTGGGTATCAGTTTCCCTCAGCCTGACGAAGATTGAGCCATGGTCTGGAGGATGGAGTTGAAAGGGGAGGAAAGGGGGCGGACAGCTGAGGACAGGAGCGAGTGGCAAGGCGTGACGATGCATGACTGTAGATTATATTCCCCGATTGCAAGAAGATCGTTCGATGTAGTTGTATTTTGGGTATTGATGGAGAGCGGAGGCTTTTAATTGAAGTTGAAATCGACTGAAGGAGGAGCAAGAGAAGGAGGAAGGGAGGGGAGGAGGGAGGGGTGAGGGGAAGGACAAGGTAACGAAGCTTTTGCTCTCTGTAAAGAATAATTTGACGATCACGACCCGTAAGAAAAAGGCCTAATACATGCAAGTGTCACAAGGAATCGCTCTTACTCCCTCCTCTCTCCCTGCACTACAAGGCGTTTCCCTCCCCCTCCCCTCTACCTATCCCTGGCAACCCTTCAACCCCCCCCCGCCCCCCCACCCCCCAAATCACCTCGGCTCTTGGTCGAAGATGTTGGGGCTGTAGTCGTGCACCGTGTATCCAGCATCTTTCCCTTTCTCCTCCTGCGAGGGCAGTCAGGCAGAAAGCGCAAATACTGCTCCCTTCACCTCTTGCAGCCACAGGGGCTTCGTCGGGGGGAGAGGAGGGGGTGGGAGAGGGGGGGCAGGGGAAGGAGAGTCTGGAGTTCTGCTCCATGATGCTTTAGTCGGAGAGAAGAAGGCTGAAATTCTCACCTGGAGCTCCTGGGACTCTCTCTGGGGTGCGGGATCCTGGGAATGGGAGGAGGAGGAGGAGGACTCCTACCTCGCTCAGGTACTTCCTCCCTCTCCTCCTCACGCTGCCTTGGCTCTGCCGGCCTCTCTTCCTCGTTCCTCTTCACGGGGACACACTTGATTGCTTCTTCGAAGTATCCTGAGTCCAGGCACTTGGGTGAGGCGGTCAGACCCCTTGATACGCCCGATGCCTTCATGCAAGAGTCATATTCCTCCCACTCTCCTCAGCCTCTCCTCTCCTCTCCTCGACCTCGTCCTCTCCCGCCTCCCTCTTGCACATACCTGGTATCCTTCATCGCAGGACACAAAGACCTGGGTCCCTGCTAGCACGCGGGTCCGAGGGCCATTGAAGGTACTGTGAGCAGGCGCTTGGAAGGAGTCGCACATGATGGGTTCGCACGTCTTTCCCTGCTCCCACTCTCCCGTCCTAAGGCAGCGGATCGTCTGCCGTCCCCCGTCGCTCAGCTGGTAGTGCTCGTCGCACGTGATGAACAAAGAGTCTGTCCGTGGCCAACCCTCCAGCCCCGACGGGCTTGCGATCCTGTACTCGTCCAGCTCGTACCAGACTGATCCATGGTTGGGCGCCTGGTAGGCAGGGCACTGCACGGGGAGGGGAACGCAAGTTATTCCCTCCTCGTACTTGGTGGTCTCGAGGCACATGGGCGTCGCTGTTCCCACCAGATCGTCGGGCATCCTGTTCGCGGTCTCGCCGAACGTTGGCCACAAGGTAGGATGCAGATCGTTGTAGATCCTCGCTCGGTATCCACGATTGCAAACGATCGCCACGCGCTCGCCCACCTGGACGGGGCCCGAAGGAGTCACGCTTGCATGCTCAGGAGCTACGTATGCTGGGCACATGATAGGCACGCAGGTCACCCCCAGCTCGTAGGCTCTTGTATCTAGACACTGAGGGTTCTCTTTCGCGTGCTCCTCCCCAAAGTGCGGCATGAACCCAGGATCACACTTGATCGCCACACTCTCCCCAGCAAACACTTGCCCCGTCGGGAAGACGTACCCATTGAGAGGAGGCCGGTATGGCTCGCAAGCGATCCTCACGCACGACTGCCCCTTCTCCCACTCGCCGCTCTGCAAGCAGTAAGGGTCTCTGAAGGCTCCTTCCCTACCATCCAGCTCATAGTGAGGATCGCAATGGATTTTAACTTGCTCGCAGGATGGAATGTCGCCAGCAGCAGCCAGCGGGTATCGGTGGCCGTTAATGGTAAGGTAGTGACGGCCTGCTTCCTCTGATCCTGTGTGGCTGCGGTACTCCTTCCCCCTGTAGGTCACTGAGCCATGCTCCGGAGCTGTATAGGGAGGGCAGAAGACTTCCACATGCAGGTGCAGGTGAGCTGAGCAGGCAAACGAGCTAGTGCCACAGCTGGGGGACATCGCACCGCTGGAGCAGGCTGAAGGTTTCAGGTTGACAGATGCAAAGTGATCGTTCGACATGTCGAAGTATCCCTTGATCACCGAGGCCTTCTTCACAGTCACCGCCTGCGATCCCTCCGAGCGCCTCTGGACCCTCTTGAGCTGCTTGTGCTGTTGGCTGGTTTGGCCCAACACTGGCGATGGCTTTGAAGCGTGAGCTGCCTGAGCAGCAGCAGCAGCTGATGGAGTCTGAGCAGCAGCGCGCTGCACGTGTTTGGTCTGCTGTTGCCTCCTTGGCCGTGAGGCCGAGCTCTCTAGCGCTAGCTCTCCCTTCACTGCCTCGCCTGACGCTCCCTCAAGCCTTCCCCGGATCTTTGCCATCCTTTGACGATCCCTTCCTTGTTGACCGGCATGCAGCAGCGAAGGAGGAGGATACTGTAGCTCGCTACCTTTCATCCCAATGGTGATGAATCCATCATATCTTAGCCCCTCTCTGCGTCCTCAATCAGCTCCTTCTCTTCTCAGGTCTCCAACACTACCTGAACGCATGGACTGGGATGTATCCGCTGTTGTCTGGCCTTCCATCCACAAACAAAGGCAGGTTTCCCTGTTCTGTTGAGAGGTGTACGATGCTTCCAGGTTGCAGGTCAGGTGCCTGGTGCTGCACGCTACCTGCCAAGAATGTCAGACGTTCAATCGCGAGGTCACGGTCAGAAGCCTACGGGTAGTTTGATTCCCACTGGCTTGAAGGATTCTCGACTGCACGAAGTTTGTCGTAGCGACAAGAGGAGCATCTAGCAGGTCCCTCGACCACGAAGTCCGACGGAGAGGTACCGAAGATTCCGAGCTCTTGCTCCTTTCTCCGCCTGAATTGGTTGTCGGGCCAGCCCTCAGCAAGGCGTATTTCGAGCAAATGGACGAGTCTGTGCAAGCAAACTTTGGTAGCAGCTGAATCTTTGTGCTATCAGAAGACAAGATCAGGATCAGCATGCAGCATGTTGCGAATGCCGCCAGCAAAGCACCCGCGCCGCCCCACGTCGCCGACATGCGAGCTAGCCTCATAGGACAGGTAGCAAGAGGAGAAGAGGAGGAAAAGGCTGGTTCGCTCCTAGGATCGTGTGTGCTCTGTAGCTTCAGTGCGTTAGGCACTCTGCCGTCTCCTTCCCTTCCCTTCCCTTCCCTTCCCGACTCCTCTTATGATGCTTGCCATGACGCCCCTTCGCCCGGAAAGGAGTCCGCAACAGATGGCAGACCAACGGAACTTAGAAAACCGGGCCCGGTCAGCGGGCCGGCGGCCTGTTCAGCTGAATCAACGGCAGTGTAACGGAAAAGGACTGGAGCGGGGAGGAGGGATAAACCAACGGCCATGGCGGAGGCGGAGTTGACGGACTTTGCGGACGATGCGCTCAAGTTCGAGACATACGAGCAGTACCTTGACTCACAGGTGAGAGCGAGGGAGAGGAAGATGAGGTTGAAGAGGAAGCAGGGGCAAGAGTGGAACGAGGAGCAAGAGGAAGGAGGACAGGGTGAGGATTACGGGGCTGGGACAGGAAGGGTGATCGTGTGGAATGAATTTTGGAATGTTGTGAAGAGAGTGAGAGAAGGATGTATCAATGATGTCTCAAGTAGTACTACTTGATCATACTACTTGATACAAAAATGAGGATTCAAGAGAAAGGCATATGATCTTCCCTTCAGATCTCTCCGATGGACATTTATTACCTCGAAGACCAAGACCTGGCTCGAGATTTGGTAGAGCTTGGGTACCGAGGGAGTGGAGAAACTCTGAAGCGGGAAGAATTCGAAGCAAGGAAGAAAGCTGCGGAGGAAGCAAAGGTCTCACTCTCCTTCCTACCGCCTCTCCCTGCCCCTTCTTTTCTCCATTAATCTTTCCTTTCCCCCCTACCTTCTGCCCTCCCCATTGATATCAATCTCCAGGCCTCAAAGCTGCGAAATGCGCCGAAGAAACTAGCCAGCGCAGACAAAGACCTCTCCCACTTTCCATTCCTACACAGCCTGGCAGAAAGAGAAGATTTGGTGAGGAACGGCAAGCTGACGTCAATCATCTTTCTTCGAGACAAGAACTCAAAGGGACAGGAGGTTCACAACTTGTTCTGCCCCTCCGTCAACACCACTTCTTCTTCTCCTGTTTTCTTCCCTTTCTCCTTCGTCACTTGCGCAGTATTTCACTTCCTGTCTCCTCTCCTGTCTTCTCTCCTCTTCTCTCCTCCCCTCCCCCCCTTGCTTTGCTGATTTCTCCTGCCTCAGGTGTCAGGATACATCGACTATGCTCATCGACTAAAGACAGAGGACTTTGAGCCGTGAGATCCTCTTCTTCTCTCTCCTGCTTACCCTCCCTGCTTCTTGCTCTTCGCTCCCCTTGTTCTACTCCTCTCCACTCTGATCCGCGTCTGCAGCTACTTCGACCGAAAGAAGAAGCTGATGCCCAAACCATCGGACTTGAGCTACTACAACTGGGAGACTCAACATTCTACCTCCAACTCCACACCAAACTTTCAGGTTCTGAGCTGCTCTCAAGAGAACAAGAAGGGCAAGGAGAGGAGGAGGGGGTGCGAAGGGGAAACTGTGGAGAGGTGGAGACGAAAGGGGAGTTGCTGAGCTCTACCAATAGGTGATAGCAGACAATGAAGCAGGTCTTCTCTTCAAGAATAAGAGAGACAGAAAGGTGACATGCTAGCGTCACTCCTTGCGAAAATCCCTCCTCGAACTTCACCACCTTCCTCTTCCTGTGGTTTCTTTCCTTTCCTTGTCGCCTCCTCCCTTCCCTCCCTCAACTCATTCTTTCTGTGCAGGTGATCAACGTCGATCCCAAGAGTCTACCGGGAGACAACTCGAGAAGGATTGAGATCAAGACCAACGAGTACGCGCAGGTTTCGACTGTTAGGAGAGTTTGTTTCCTCCCTGAAGCATTGGACAGGTTGTCATTTACGACCACGTGACCAGGAGGAAGACTTAGATCTACAACTAACTCCACAACCTCCTCCCCCTCCTCCTCCTCCCCCTCCTCCTCCTCTGCCTTCCCTCCACTCTACCGCCGCCGCCGCCGCCGCTCTCATTGCCTCGCTATCTTTGTCGTCGCCCTCGTCCTCGTCGCCATTACCCTTGTCTCCCCTTGGCTACATGCCCTTCTTCTTTCCCCCGCAGAATGCCTTGAGTACACGTTTGAATCTCCGCACGTCCCGCAAACAGACATCGGACAGCAACTCCCCCACCTGAACATGTTTGATATGATTGACCACAGGAATCTGCAGCTCACAAATGTCTTGAGCTGGGTTTCTGTCGGGTTCTTGTGCTCTTGCGCCGCTGATTCCTGCCGTTCTTTCAAAATGCGATCCTCCTCTTCTTCCTCCAGCTCCTCCTCTTCCTCCCCATCCCCCCCCCCCCCCCCCTCTCTCCTCCTTCCCTCTCTCATCTCCTGATTCTACAACTGTAACTCACGATGATGACTCGAACTCCGTCCATGTCCGTGCGCACGCATGCGGCATGCAGCGACGCAGCGACGTCGATGACGTGGCTGGGGGGCATCTGACCATTCGCTGCCTCGAGCATGGCTTTGACAATGGCGTGCAAAGCTCCTCCGGCAATGAAAACCTCCTGCCCGATCGGTGGTAGATTCTTCTCCTTGTCTCCTGCAGGCATGAAATCACTTCCTCCTCCCTTCTTCGTCCTCCCTCTTCTTCCCTCCCTCCTCTTATTGCCCTCCATGCTCCTTCCTGCTTCATTTCCTTCTCTCCCCCGTCTTCTCCTCCTTGCCGCCCCCTCGCTCGCTCACCCAGAGCTGCAATGATGAGCTGGGAAGCGAGCTGAAGGGCCAGCCTTGCCGTACTGCCGCTACTTCCCCTGAGGAAAGAGAGACAGCACTGGACAGTACGGGCGAGAGCAGGAGGGGAGACAAACTCTGCCAGCAGCAACCTTAGCCTTGGAACGAGAATCGAGGAGCGGACCTGGTAGCCTGCACTCGGCGCAGGAGCAGAGGAGGGAGAGGAAAGCATCGATCGTGTGCTCCTCCACTGCTTGCCTCTTCTCGCCCTCCAGATCGACTAATACCCTGTCGCATAGCCGCGCTGCTGATGGTGCTGCTTGTTCCCGCAGGGACGGGAGAAAGTCGCGGAGCAGGAGGAGGAAAGTTCCTCCTTGGCCACGTTCGATGGCTAAGAGGAAGGCATGCTCCAGCAACGTCAAAGAATCGGCGATGCTTCCTTGATATGGATGTAAGCGAAAGAGAGGGGAGAGGGGAAGATGGAGGGAGGAGCGGAGAGCATTGAAAAGTGGAAGAGTGAAGAGGCTTCGTTGTGGGGGAGAATAAGGTCTCCAGTTGAATAAAAATGAGAGAGATCCGAGATTCAGAGAATCCAATACAAGCAAGAGGAAGCACGGGAAGAGGGAGGGAGGGAGGGAGGGAGGGAGGGAGGACCGGAGGTCGAGCATCGGGGAGAGGTATACCGGCTCTTCCTTGTTTGACGATACTTTTCATCACCTCTGCTGCTGCTTGACTCACCCCGAAACGAGTCTCCTCCTCTCGCACGGCCATGGTCGCTTCCAGCGCCTCTTTCATCTTCCCCATGACCGCCTCCTCTATCTCCTTCCTCCTCCCCAGGACCATGGGAAAGTGGTCACACACGATGGCGCATGCTCTCATGCTCCAAGCGAGGGCTGCCAAGGGCTCAGCGACCAGGAGGTTTCCTCCCTGTCTGCTCGAGATCTGCTGGAGGACTGCCCGGACGTTGCTGATGCTCTCCCCGAGGTCGTGGAGGAGGGGATGGAGCAGCTCTGCTATGCTCTCCTCCTGGGCGTGTGGGTCCTCTTGCCATCGGATGACAGCGACCAACCCACGCAGCAGCACGACGAGGGAAGGTTCCTGTTGATGCTCAGCTGGGGTACGGAAAGAGCGGACACAGGTACCTGACCCACTCTGAGCTCTGTTGGGCTTGGAGATGCGAGTTGTTTGTGCTTGTACATCTGCCACAATACACTTGAGGCAAGTTCACATCGCTCTCTCCTTGCTCGCTTCGTCCCCCGCCCCCCCTCTCCCCCGCGCTCTCTCGGCCATCCCCCGCCTGTAGCACCAGGAAGGCTTCGTTGGCTTGTCCGCTCCGGAGTACCATCGGCCCTGAGCTCTGTGCGACCTTCATGAAGGCGACGCATCCTCCTCGAACTGTAGGGTAACGCGGAGACCGCATGGTCTGATAGACGATGTGGAGGAGTGAGGGCCAACCAACTGCCTGCTCCATCCCAGTCAGATGAAAGCGCGCCTCCACTTCATCCCACCTCCTCCTGCAGAGAGCTGCATAGCAAGCCCATCAGCCATGAACAAGTCTCGAGGAGGCGAGGGTGGACCGCAGCATGAAGCTCTAGCCCCACATGCGTCAGACCGGCTCTTCTTGTCCTCCGCTAGCCCCGCCATCCTCTTCCTCACCTTGCGTGCGATGCAGGAGGAGAGAGACCCCCCGCACACACTCGTTAGCTGCCTCGTGCGAAGCTCCTCGACAGATGGCATGCAAGCTCTGAACGATCCCTTCTGCTTCCTCCCAAGGGCATGCCCGTGGACTCGACAAGCATCGGGCATGGAGAACTTGCAGACAAGTTGAGATGGCGAGGTCGCTGCCAATGATGACAGCTGCAACAGAAGAGATTCACGAGCAGGAACAGAACAAAGGAGAGTTCAAGAATGAAGTTCCAAAGGGAAAGGGAAGAAGCGGGGGAGTCGAAGGAGGTATCTGGAGACTTGTGGCTGTAGGGAAACTTGCCAATATCACGAAGAGCATCTGCGAGGTCCTCTCGCAGGCGGAGATGAGGATGACGAACAAGATCTGCTTCGCACGCTCCCCCGTATGTCTCTGCACCATCCCTCTCCATCTCTTCGCTCCAGCAGTCCTAGTCCGGTTGTCAAGGCACGTCGCCTCCCTCCCCCTCCCAACAAACCACTGGGAATGCGATCTTCGAGGAGATGACGGAGATTGTGCTGCAGCCTACCTCGCGCAAGGACAAGAGAAGGGCAGATCGAACCTGGGAAAAGCAGGGTGAGGGCAAGGAGGAGGATAGCGGCAACTTACAAGGGGCACACTTGCTTCCGATACTTCTCGGGCGGAGGACCAGGACGAGAGAGACTGCGAGAAGGTCTGCGTCGCATCTTCCTCCTGCGGAAAAATCATCCAGTCGGGAAGATTTCTCTCCATATCTTCAGCCAGCGCCTTCAATCAACAAGTCAGGAGATGACGTAGACTGTTCCAGCAAACACACTTTCATCAGCTCTGCACTGATCGCGAAGGATTCTTCATTCTTCAGCGATAAAAAGGTTGCGGCAGAGTGCACTAAGATGGTGATGATCGAGCTTCGAACTTCGAACAAAGAGTGCGAAGAAGAAATTCCGTGTACGGCGGGAGGGGGGAGCATCAGTTGTAGCAGATGCAGGCAAAACTGTCGATTCTCCTCCTTGTACGGGCCATCCTGCGAGCGAAGACAACAGGTTAACTTGCGATGATATCATTTGTCCCTAGAGAACTCACGTTGTGATCCGAACAGACGTGCGAGACATAGGAACAGAGGAGGGAAATGGCCTGCAGTTAACCTTGTTGATGGCTGACAATCGGATGTTCAACAACGCTGACCTCGGAGATGAAGTCATGATGGAAGCAGCAGCTGTGATGCACGTGCGGTGCTGTCGTTGAAGCCCGTGAGATGAGTAAGACAGGAGCTTCTCGAAGAATCTCCGAATGCTGAAACTGGAAACTTCCGCATCCATGTTCCAACCAGGCGTTGAGGGCTTGTATAACGCACAATCCAACAGAGGCGTCATCAATCGATCGAGATTCTCTCCACATCAGTGTGAGGTACTCTGCAATTTGGGAGAAGGATTGCTTCAGACAGTTTGAAACGTCCTGCCTTCGTTGAGGATGTATACTGCTTTCGTCTCATTGCACATTTACACAAACGGTACCTTGTCACCTCAAATGTCTACTAGAAACTTCCTCCTGCACTAGAACACATCAGAAAAACTCACTAGATGACAAGAGAGACCGGCAAAACCCGTATCGTTTCCTGTCAGTTCACATCATCAGCACAAAACAGGGGGAGGGTTCAAGAGGTACAAGCATCGCCATGTTCGCGGCTGCGAAGGAAAGCGCAAGATCCTTGACTACCTGCAGGAACAGCGTGTGATGGCCTACAGAGCATCATGGCATCCAACCATCTTCGTCTCCCAGCTCTCCATCTTGCAGACCAGAACAGCTACGGCAGAGCATATTTGCGTCAGAATCGTTCTTCCGCTCGGCTCATGGGACCATCGCGCTGTTGTATAAGGCAAGGAACTTGTCAAGACAAACAGGATTGATAAAAACTGGACCTGCTAGTGCAATCAGCACATTCCTCGCCTCTTCCCAACGATCTGCCGTCATCACTTCATGACTTTTCTGCACTCTGTCTCATTCACCAGCATGGCCAACCAAGGATTGTCACCTGCTTTCTCTCTGCCTTGGACACGCTACACCGCAATCGCACATGCAGCGCTCTTTCAACGCATCTCAGTCACCGTCCACCATCCAGCCATTCACCTGGCGCAGAACAGATGTTCGTAGCTGGTTGCTGTTGGCAGTTTCAGAAGCGCTATGGAGAGGTCCCAGCATTCTTGACTGTAGAGGAACTCCTACATATACATGGGAGCGCAAGTCAGAAGTCAATGTATGCATGCATAATCACCACCTGGAGGAACTTGTCTGCCGAGTTTCTCTCCGCTGCATCCGCTGCATGCGATCGGATCAGGGGTCGGAAGGCAACCAACGGATAAGGCTCACCGCAAGTGTACATGGAGGCGAGGGCATGCCTCAGTCGATCTATCTCCGCCGACATGGCTGGTACAGCTACCTCCCTCTCCAGACTACCGAGGCTCTCCCCGCCTCCTTCCCGTTGCCCCCGTTCCACCCCATCGCCATGATGATGCTGTGTTGACTTTACTGACTGGTTGGACTAGCCTCAGTGTCCGCCAGTGTCCGGGCTCAGCGGACCCGGCGGCCCGGCCCTTCAAAACCTTTGCCTTCCGCCTGGCTTTTTCAAGGAGGTAAGAACTTATTCACAGTGCTGCCTTCATGACGGCTAATTGTTGGCGTTGAGGCAGACTGGGAAAATCTAGTTGGTTGTAAAGATTCGTGGCTAACATGTGCCAGTCTGCCTAGGAACAAGATTTATAGATACGGGGGGCAGAGAGGGAGGCCGTGGGGGTGCTTTTACTGGGGATTGACTCTGATGAAGCGCAAACGCCTGTCGTTTCAAAAGGCGCTAGCAATCCCCAACAACTTTACTCAAGTCCTGGGGGTCCTCCCGTGCCAGTACACTGCGACTCTCTGCCGATCGGAAGGGGGTTTAAAAGAAGGTTGTAGAGCATCAGATAGAGGCTACGGTTAAAAGGGGGTTTGTACCAAGATGACACGGGATTGTAATTTTAAAACTCTAAATGCTGTCAGAGATCAAGTGGAGATGCAGAAAAAAGAGGAGGAAAGCGGTCTAGCGAGGAAAAGCTCATAATTCTGTTTTAAACGGGATGTTCATAGCGTATTCCTGTACAACCTTTCAGCCTCAATGAGCTTAAAATTTAACTCAATTCCTGCAGTGGAGCTCCCCCACCCCTTCACATCTCTGACCAATTTCAATCTCCCACCCCACCACCCTAGAAGTACTTTTAGACCACCCCCTTGTGCGAAGCATTGTGGTATGTTGACTATTTGCATCTCAAGATTTAGGAACTTGACAAAGAAATACCCCAAACCCACTCGTTTGATACTTTGGGCAACCCCCGATTCTGGCAAAATCACATCTTTTCGGATCTATGGGGTGGATCCGATCTGCCCCCTTCGAGGTAAGTAACGTGACCATCGAAGCTGTCGCCACGTTAGTCATGGTCCCCGCACGGCCATCAACAACTCCGAATCTAGGAGGTGAGGGTACACCTGCTGTTCTTCGAGAGGTGGACAGGGTGGGTACTAATATCAGGACATCCGGGGTAATTTTCGGTTCTTTTCGAATAGGGGGTGGGTGGGTCGTTGGATACCCATACGAAGGTCAACTGAGGCCACAGTCAAACAGGACGCAATTACGAGGGAAGGAGTAAAATTGGTGGGTGGGGTGGTTGTGTTTTGAAGACTACCCCCCTGGAAAGTTGCTCAAGGTACCCCCAAAATGTGTCGAAGGGACAGTGGGGTGGTGGGGTCTGTAAGACCAAAGATTGTGGGGTGATAAATAATAAATCGATTTTTTAAGTCTCTCTAGGACTGGGGGGTAGGGGTAAGGGGGTAGGAAGAGAGGAATAAAGAAGGGTGAAGCGCGGAGGTGCCGTATCAACATGTCCTCCCTCGCAAACCTTCACTCGCGCACTGCTAGGATCTTTCCGCGCAGGAAGAGGAAAGGGCCCAACCCTTCTGCTCGGACGTGCTCCGAGGTCACTCTCACCACAGCCAATATCATCGACATGTTCCATTTGCGACAATCGGAAGCGGCCGAGAAGCTGGTAAGAGTTCACCCTTGCAAATGCCCCTCGTGTGTCCTGACGAGCAGCGTTTTCAGGGGCTCTCGTTGACGGCGTTTCGTGCTGCATGCCGGCATGTGGGGGTAAACAAATGGCCATATGCTCGCTCGAGATCGAAATCGCATTCCGGTTCAGAAGGGAATGATAGTGAAAGCAAGGCCAACAGCGATAATGAAAACATAGATGAATTTGCAAAGCGAAGAGACACATCGAATCAATCCAGCAATGTGATCAAGAATCATATAGATCCTGAAGGCTCGTTGGAATTGCATTTTCGTTGGAGCGATAGAGTGGTGTTCAGCCCGGAATTAGATTCTTTGATGAACGAAGCGTTGGATCACGTGGAATTGAATTTGACATGCACCAATTAGTGCAAACCAAGGAGATCATGCTCCGTACCCTCTTCCTGTCTGAGTCAAGGATGTCATGTGAAGATTTTAAGTTTCGAACCTCGTCCGGTGAGGATAGGGTGTAGAATGAGGCGAATGCGCTTTGTAAATTAGTTCGTAGTTTTTGTTGTTTTCCAATGAATGAGTAACAATTGTCTCAGAATGATTGTACTGATCATACCTCGCATCCTCACAAGAGTGAAAGAAAATGAAAGTGACAAGGTGGCATAATATCCCCTTTGCAGCTAAATGCTCTCTGTGTGTGGAGCGGAAAAGGTGGATTTCTTGAACGGGCATTGGAAGCATTGTTGTCGTGGTTGATCGCAGTTGAGCCTTATTGGAACACTTGTTACAATACATTTGTTACAATATAAATGCGCCAATCGGAGGATCTCAAGAAAACGGATCCTCCTCAGAGTGCAAATCAGCAATGTCGAGCCTCGGAGGAGCGTCACAACAGTTCTAGGCATAATTATACAACACAGGTGGTTCAAGAACAGCGACCGTACATCTTCACATTGTGAATGCCATCCCTTGTCCTATAGAGTAGGTTCGCCTAACTATGTTTTGCTCACACTCATATGGACATGTTGATTGGATCATACCGATGATTGAAAACCATCTTGCTCAGAATGCCATGCCACGGACAGCAGTCGCCGTGATAACTCACAGTGATTTAGCCGCTAGTGTCACCCGCTGTGTGCCAGTAGCCTAGTACCCTTCACGCCATAGAAGCTGTAAGTAAGGGCAGCCTTATCGCGCCCCCGACTGAAATTCAGCACTCAACCACTGTCTGGACGGGCTTCCGGCCCTCCGCCACGGTGACCTGACTCCGCCGCGACGGGCGGCCTTCCCCGCTGGGATCGACTACTCGGTGGCCCGGTGGCGGGCAGCTCGGCCTGGTCGGCGGGGATCATGCGGCTGCAGTAAACGAGCGGCGTCGCCGGACCTCCGATGGACTCGATCGGGCGGACTCGGGCCGGGCGCGGCAATATGCCTCGTCGTCGCGACTGCCAGCAACGCCGAGTCTCCCTGATCAGCGACCAGCGGCAGAGCTACACTGACTCGGAGTCCTGAGCGTGATCCCGGGCTTGCAGAGGGCCGTGCTGGCCACGGCGACGTCTGTGTGACAGCCTGGCAGCATCGAGGAGGTGGTGCTCCGACGACCGCGGCCCGGTCTGCCTGCACTGCGGCGGCGTCCGGCTCGACACACGGCTGAGTGCCACACGCAGCGCTTCAAGGCTTCGCGAAGGAGGTGGCTCTCAAGTCGTCGGCCTACCGTACAGCACTGATCGCGGCGAACGGTGCCACGGTGCGCGCCGCCGGGCCCGGCCCCAGGGCCGGCCGGGGCACCAACCAAGTTCGAGACGCCGGTGGTAGCCGACTCGCCGTCGTCTGCCGCACTGCGGCAGTCGGTGGCACTCCGCGGCCGGGCCTCGCCGAGTCGGGCCCCGGCCCGTCCGCTGCTCCGCGGCGTGCGGCGCTCAGGCAGTCCGACTCCCGCTTCCCGACCGTACGGCGTACCGTACCTCGGACCGTTCCGACGGCGGCGGGCAGCGCATCAGCACTGAGTCTTTACTCAAAGTTGAGTAGTAGCCTACTCTGCGAGTCTGAGTAGTACTAGTTACCTAACTTAACTTTGAGTAAACTAGTCGGCAGACAGTACGGTCTCGGGCCGCGACTCGCCCGCGGCCGCCGCCGAAAAGTTGCTACTAAAGGCCCGACCCCTTTACCGAAGGCAGTCACAACAGACTTTGTTCCATGGCAGTGGGCGGGCGCAACTTGAGCTTGTGCTGAGGGGATGGGGGAGGAGGACTGTACAACTGTTGGCGCTGGAGGAGGAGACAGGGAGAGAAGAAATAGGATGGAGGAGATGTAAGGAGTGATGATTAGCTGGATCTCGAGCGTGAGGAAGGGGTATAGCAAGTGGGACCAGAAGAGTCCTTTCGAGGTCTCAGATGAAGCAAGGAGAATCATCAAGAGAGTCGGAAGCATCGCTGTTTTCCTCGGCATCCTCTCCATCATCATCGTTCCATTGTTGGTAAGCTCGCGTGAATTGTTGGTCTTTTGAGAAAGGGGTGGACAACGAAGTACGGATGGCGAGAGGAAGGGGGAGTTGTGCTGAATTGGGAAGTGAGGGGGGCAGGCAGAGAAAGGGAGGGAGGGAAGGAGGGAGTTAGAGTGATTGCGAGCCAATTTGCTTCCAGGTTTCCAAGACAAACCAAGATCCCTGCAAAGTCTGGACGGAAGTCCAGGACCTGCTGGCCGAGCGGGACAACATTACGGTAGTCATAGGCAACGGAAGAGGGAATCAATTCATCTTCTCAAGAGGTAGGTGTACTGCAAGCGAGATGCTTACTCATGTGTTGCTGCTCGCACAGGCAAGAGGTCGACAGCGGCATCGGTCCCTCTGCCGGTGGCGAGTGCGAGCAAGTGGATTACCGGTGAGTGGTTCACATTTCGCGTGCCCTGAAGGAGTGCATGACGTCTGGATCAGCGACCGTCATCATGAAACTTGTGGACAAGGGAGACCTGTCGCTGGAAGACAGGCCCTCCAAGTACCTCAGCTTCTGGAAGGCAAACGACACGAGGGGACAAGTGGGGCTCTGGCATCTGCTCTCCTTCACCAGTGGTGATGGTGAGCATGAGAGGGAGGAACGCGCTGACATGTGCCAGGGCTGGTGGAGGGAGGTTCTCTCAGATGCTCCTACGGGACCAACGATGTTGTTGCGTGTGCCAGAGAGATCTATGAAGCCAACTCAAACATGACCAACGCTCCGGGCGAGTCCTTCTACTACTCCGGGAATCACCTGGTGGTTGCGGTAGCCATGGCGGAGACAAGGACAGGGAGGTTGGAGGCCAAGTCTGAAGGAACTTCTGCTGACACCACACGCAGAACTCTAAACCAACTTCTCCAAGCCCTTGTGATTGAGGAACTTCACTTGCAAGAGAGCGTCCATTTCTCCTTGAAGCCACCAGGGTATCTTTCATATGCTCTCATGATTGTTTCTTCGTTTCTCCCACTTTGCAATCTCTCACTCTACTCACGCCCAATCAGTTTGAACCCAAGTGGGAGTCTGGTCATTTCTGCTATCGATTATGGAATTTTCTTACGGTGAGGAAATCCCTTCAAGGATTTGCTCACTGAGAATCGAATCGATAGTGCAATGCTAACAAAGCAAGAAACGTTTCTCTCCCCACAAGCTTACGCCCAGCTGCTGGCTCCCTTCACCAGTGCTGCACCAAGTTTCTTCCAGAAGCTCCACTGAATTTCGTGCTCCTGTGCAGGGAATGCCAAAAAGATATCCACACTTGCTCCTTACACTCAAGGGCGAGAGTGGGAGTACGGGCTCGGGTCATAAAAATCTTGCCTTCTTCACGTTGTGCTTTTGATTCCACATGCAGACATTGGGTCGAATGCTTCAACAAGATGAGTTGTGACGCGTCGAACATCGTGTGCCCCAACAGCTCGATTCAGGTGGCTCGAAAGCTTCCCAGGGCTGCGTAGAGTGATGTCTCCTTTGCCTTCAGTCATCCTTGGGTGCATTTGGATTCTATCCTGTCCTTGAGGCTGCGATTAAGGTACGTGACCTTGACCTCTCCCTCTCGTTCCTCGCTCCTGTCTTCCTGGATTGATTGACAATACCGAAGGTCTCTGATCTCAACGATCATTACGTCATCATCTCGCCACAAGTGCCAACATCTGATTTCTCGAAGAATTACATGCTGCCGTCTGTCCTCCTCCATGAGCAGGTTTGAATCTTTCGATCTCGAGAGTCCTATAGCCTTTTGACGTCCGTTGAAGGTCCGGTCAAAGATAAGAGAGGCCATTTCTTCGTTGCATAGGAGCAATAAGAGAAATTCGGTCTGTGAACGAAGACTGGATTGAAATTTTTCATGTATCATCCTCGCTCGAAGGATCCTCTGGTATTGTTAAGTTGGCCTTCAGGAAGTCTGGTATACTTCCTTTTCCTTGATACTTGTAAAATTCAGCCCTCATAAGAGAATCTCTAATAGTCGAAAATTATGAGTAAAAAGCACGGAAATGATTGGATAAATGAGAACTTACTCTAAATCATCGATCATTCGATGTATTTCTCTCATCTCCTGCAGATATTGAGTCAATGAAAAATATTTAGCAAGATTTCTGAAACCCGGTTAAAGACCAGCTGAGATGCATACACTGGCTGATCTGATGTGGCAATCTTTTCAAGCTCCTTGAGATGTTGAAGTTCGATGTCAAGGACCGTCGGCTCAGGGTTGATCTTCCTCGCAGTCTTCTGTTTTAGCCTGCAGGGCAAAATGATCTTCTTGAAAGTAGATGCAGGCCGACGAGAAATACCAAACTTTCTTCAGCCAAAAGAAAGTTGTCCGCTCCCGATTCTCCACATGAAACCGACTGAAGTTCAAAGGTACATGGAATGTTATCCAAATCACCATTATACCACCAGAACAAATATAAAGAGGGAGGAAGACTAAAGGACAATTTGATTTCACCTTGGATAATACTCAAGAACTCTCGAAATCGAAGGACAACGAGGGAATCTGTTCACAATTAGATGTCCAAATGTGAACAAGCCGATAGAAGATACTTGGATTTCAGGAAATCTTTCATTGGTTCATCAGGATAGTTCTGTTTCCAGACTTTTCCTAGTCGTGTTTGTACAGCCTTCCCTCCACACTAGAGGAATATTCCAGATGGCAAGAGAACAACAAAAGATCGTTTCAAAATACAACGATTCCACCTTTAAAGAATACCTCAACCAGGATCTTCTCCACCTTTCTGATAAATTTGAGAGCTTCTTTGTCTTTTACATCGAATTTAGCTTCAGATCTGAGTGATTCAAACTCATCTCTTTCCTTGATAAATTTGTCTGTGATAATCATATGTCAAGAATAAGGTTAATATCGACGACAGCAAGGGAATCACCAATTTGTACTTCCAACGAGTCAAGGTAATCATTGATCTCCTTCATCAATGGATCTGAGAAGTTGAATGACAGCTCCTTGACTTTTCTACGATACTCCTCGACCTCCTCTGCTTGTGAAGGCTTTCCCACTTTCGATTTCTTTCTGAGCAATTCCTTGCCTGCACGATAAAACCTCAGTGAATTGGGATGCCGTTGAAAGCAAAACCTGAATCCTCTGATGTTGTGGCATTTTTCACCTTTGATGCAGTTATTTGTTGTGCCCTTTTCATCAGCGGGTTTTCTGACAGCGATGTGGCAAACTGAAACCTCTGTCCTGTTCTCTCAGAACCTGTTGCCTTGCTCTGCTCTTTCTTCATGCAAATGATATCAACAAGCTTGCTCGTTCGCTTGTTAAACTTGCCATGCAGAAGAAGGAGCGACGTGATTGGAGGTGCGAAGCCCACAGCAGGAAATGCAGCAACCCCGTGGGAATAGATAGAGCAGCGTTCCACGACGCATGCGAGGATCAGACAAGACAGGGCAAGGCGAACAAGTTGAGGAGGAAGAGGGCGCGGAACCATGAGCAGCCTCCAGGCGCCTCTCTATTCACCTCTCCTCTTTCATCCCTGTCCCTCGGCCCCGTTCCCTTCCCTCCTCCTCGTTCCTCTCCTTCTCGTTTCATGCATGGCTCTGAATGCGACCAGTCACCTTCCCTTCATGAGTGATAACCCTGCCCTGCCAACTCCCCCCGTCCCACCCCACCCCACCCCACCCCACCCCTCAAAATCAGACTACCCCACCCCGCAATATCAGACTACCCCATCCCCACTTCACAGCAACCCCCATGTAGCAGTCCAACCCCAAGGATTCCTGATAAACTGACCCCTGCACCGAGCTCAGCCCTGGACCCCTACTAGACTCATGATAGGACCCCTTACTCCAGCCCCTGTGAGGGACCCCTGGCTCAGGACCCCCTGCAGGACCAGCTGCAGGACCCCCACCCGAATAAACACGAGTGGGGATGAGGGACAAGGGGAAGTGGTCAGGGTCGTCAAGCAGGAACTGCAGTCTAGCTGAGACAAGAATGCTGAAGCGGCGGGGGGGAGGGAAGGAGGAAGAGGGCGGGGGCGGAGGAGACGGGGATGTGTGTTCATGAGGAACAGGGATGAGAGGAGAGGAAGCATGAGGAGGACAGGAATGAAAGAAGACGGTAGTGGGGGGGAGGTATTACCGGGGAAAATAGGTGGAAACAGGTCATTTTTTGTAAAGCAGTAGCTAATCGAGATATTCGGGAAGGCAGAAGAGAGAATTTGGAATTAAGAGAGGTGGTAGAAAGGATGAAGAAGCAAGAAACCCAATGAAAAGAGGGCAGCAAGCTTATAGGACGGGGGGCTGCAGCATGAAAGTGCGAAGAAGGTGAGGAGCGGGACACAGTGCATTGAGTTCTCAATTACAACATAGTAAAGAAATATTAAACGCGAAGAGACCAATGGAATATGTTGACTTGAGAAAATGCAACAAGGATGATGCCTTGTAGTCTTTATCAATCCATCTGAACCTAACCAGATCATGAGGTTGAAGAATCGTTTTATGTATAGACTGACATAATGGATGCAGATGGCTTTGTGGGAGTTTCTGTGAGACCATTCTGCTTTCTCACCGCATCTCTTGATTCTTGGACTTGCAGAGAGCATGGGAGGTGGTGTGCTTTTGACAAACAGGCAGAGCTGGTCCTAGAGCAGGCTGTCGCCTTTGGGCAGACTCAGACCACTGCGAGGTTTTACAATCCTCGGTTGGGCACGGACGTCGACTACGTCTATGACCTTGTGTCGATGTGTCAGGTGAAAGTCTCTTGCTCGAACCCAGCGCTGAAATGCAATCAAGATCAATCAATCTACAAGCTTTCGGAGGCAAATACGGAGGAATCCACCCGGCGGGCCGCATGTTGTCAACGATGCCGTTGAAATCATCAACTTCACGCAAGGGAGCACTGCCGTGGCATCTCAACATGACTTTGAGCGGGTCACCAGCCTGCAAGTCGTTGACGTGAGCTCTCCTTCGATCTCCTCGCAGTCGTTCACCTTGGGCTGGCAGGTTTCGAAATTAGCGCACGATGATCAGTGTCCGATTTGCCTTGAAGGTAGAGTGTAGGCACGAGCGACATCTGATTGAGATGTTCTTTGGTTCCAGGATTTCTTCATACGCATGATGATTTCGAGAAGTGCATCAGGCTCGGCAGGTGACGCAAAAGACGCAAAGCGCCGTGTCGAGGTCCGAGTGATGGTGCTTGTCCAGGTGTGGTAATCACCACTTTCACCGGAAGTGTGTCGACAATCCCAATTCTTTTGCAAGAGGATTTATCATCTGCCCCATCTGCAAGGAGAGGTGGACGATCTTTCATTCTGGCATTGGACCACCTGAGCCTGTGTTGGTCAGGTACGGAGTGGAAACAGGAAGCATGCCAACAGGCAAGATGATTGTATCGCACATCCCCAACGCCTGTGACGGGTTTCACGGGACTGGCTCGTACATGATCAAGTGAGCAGCGGCGTCGGCAAGTGCCTGCTACCACTGTGCTGAGTGATTGGCAGGTACGATTTTCATGGTGGCGTTCAGGTCCAAGGGATGCCGACTCCTGGTAAGCGACTTCCTCCACCCTTTTGCTCCTTGTGACCCTTTGAGCGCAGGTAAGTCCTATCCTGGAACGAGCAGGATTGCTTACCTTCCCGACACCCCTGAAGGAAAGAAGGTAAGGGAGCAATAAGTTTCCAACTTGGCTGCGAACAGTCCAAGTTTCACTGTCACTTAGTCCACGACTGGGCATGCATGAGAGGCGTACGCTCATTGTGGCTCAGGTCTTGGGACTCCTAAAGAAATCGTTCTCTCGCGGCCTCACCTTTGTAAGATTCCGAACTTACAAGTCCTTTTTGTGATTCTTTGACGCAGACCATCGGGCGATCCGTGACGAGAGGGGTAGACAACCTGATCGTGTGGAATGGAATCCACCACAAGACGTCCATGACGGGGTAAAATTTTCCCTCTGGCCTCGTGAGATCTGATAGATGACAAACCAGTGGAGTTGCCAACTTCGGCTATCCTGATGCGGAGTATCTCAACAGGTAGAGAGTTGAACTCTCTACGTAGAGGAGTAGATGTGACGAGTTTGGTTTGTCAGGGTACAGAAGGAGCTTGCGGATAAAGGCATCACTCCGGATAGTTGAGGGTCTTTCACTAGGGAAAGTTAAGAATTTACTGATGGACACTCAAAAACTGTTTGTTTTTTTTGCGGCGGGTGGAGGAGTTCAGATCCGACACCCGTGAACGAACAGTATGCTTCCCTTTGACAGCTCGATGTCTTCAAGACTTGTGATATTAAACCTTTAGAGAGTGAGCGTGACAGTCTGCAGTGTGCAATCCCACCATCAGTACCTGCTCATCGTCTTTCCTGTGTCAATCATGCACTCGAGGTTGAAATGCAAAGATAGCTGGAGGACGAACTGTCTCTCAAGATTGTTGGAGCTTCTGATCCTACAGGCTCGTGACATCGGGCCAAGTACAAAGGACCACGTACCGATTGACGATGAGCAGCTGTTTTCCTTTGCCACATAGAACCAGGATCGTCTGCGACTTCACATCAGAGGCAGCCCATGGAAGCTGCAGCGTCAGAGAGCAGTCAGCCAAGACCTTCAAGAGCCTCTCGGTCGTAGCGTCGGTCTTGAACCCAAAGGTTTCTGCAAGGCCTCCTTCCTCCAGCGAGTAGATGCACTCACACGCGATCACCTGCGGCAAGCGCATCCCAGGAATCAGACCCTCCTTCAGTCACAACAGCCATGTTCGCTCGTACATAGTCAATGACTGTCAGGTTCGAGAGGTCAAAGTTCTCCACTTGGTCCCAGTTCAACTCCTTGACCACCACCTGTATCCCGTTCAGTATGAGCTGCCCGACGACGGAACTAAAACCTGCGACTCCCTCTGAAACTGGTGACTGTTCTTCTCAACATTCTCTTGCAAGAGGGGTAAGACCCAAGGGACATCTGTCGCCACCACCTGCTGTTCAACACGAGTCTTTGTCGCTGGCACGGCATGTCCATTTCACATACTCTCGCTCCGTGCAGACCTAGTGCGATCGCCAGCGCTCCAGTCCCACTTCCCAACTCCAAAACATTTCGATCTTGCAAGGATATTCCTTTGAGCAAGCAATGTCAGACGAATCGACACGTTCCGTCTCTCACACCTGTCTCCGTCAGAAATTGGCTCAACCGAGTCCCTGCGGACCACACGCACCCTCCTTCTCCAACGTAATCGTCCGTTCGCAGCTTCACACTCTCCTATGCATGACAGAGATATATCAGCTTGTGAGGAGCGGAACAAATGAATAGATCCTACTCCAAAGAGCGAGATCTCTTGGATCGCCTTGCCTCTCTCGTAGCTTGACAGGGTTTTTTTATCACCAACTTGGGCATCAGCCTCCATCGAGCGCTGCGAGCTTCGAGACGAGAGGTCACTGCCTTCCACCCGAGCGAGGTACACGGCTTGTGCGAAGCTGTCTCTTGGATCCCAAACACCTTCCTCGTCCTCAAGGCTGCATGGCCGCGCTTCCAGCAACCATGGCCGTGATCCCTTGGTGGGATCGGAGGTGTGCAATGGGGGACTTGGGGACTAGCTTGGGGGGTTAAAAAATTCGTTAAAAAATATCTTTCATAAAAAAGAGACTGTAAAGGTTTGTGAGGGGTGGTCACAGAGTAAAATGGAGGGGTGGGTGATAGGTGACTGATTTTCCCGCCAATTTCGCGCAATAATGGCTGTGGGTGCATGCAGGAAGCGATGAGATGGGCGAGAAGATCCATGGATGAGGAGATGGAAGATGGATGGCAGACATGACCTGAAGTTAGTTGCTGATGTAGTGTTCAAGTGCGAGTAGATCTTGTTGCTGTACGTCGATGAAACAACTCATGGTGTTTCGTGTGCCAGGAGACCATTAATCTTTCTCCCCGTACCATGCTCAAACCATGATGACACTGTTTGCAGATGTCCTCGATCAATCCAAACGCGTTGAAGCCTTTGTTCATGATAGTTGCATGCACCAAGAATGGTGGTATTGGCCGAGACGGCAAGCTGCCTTGGAACTTGAAGGAAGACATGGCCTGGTTCAAGAAAGTCACTACGGAAGCCAGCGCTGATAAACCTGAGGGATGCAATGCGGTCATCATGGGCAGAAAGACATGGGAATCTATTCCTCCTTCATTTCGTCCTCTTTCAGGAAGAGTGAACATTGTTCTGTCAAGAAGTCCAGACAGCATGAGTGTACCCGACGGAGTCGTCCTATCAAAGTCGCTCGCTGACGCCATGCAAGTTGTTGACTCCCGGGATGATATTTCTCAGTGCTTTGTGATTGGGGGAGGTGAATTGTATCGTGAAGCCATGAACTCAGATCGTTTGTGTAAGGTAGTGATATATAGAGAGCTTGCGTCGGCCTGTTTGAGTTGGTTTGGTGGATAGATCTTTCGTACCCTGGTCCATGGAGAGTTTGAATGTGATACTTTCATCCCTTGCGAGATTCCGAAAGGCTTCATCAGAGACACAGGTTCGATATCTCTTCGCACGCTGATTCTGCTTCTCATGAATACTTTAGAGAGCGTTCCTGGAAACGTCAAAGAGGACAAAGGGATCCAGTATGAATTCCAAATCTTTGTGAGACCCGCCACAGCTGGGAGCAACTCACACTCGGAAATGAGTACAGGATCATGCCTGATATCCAGCGATTTCTGATCTCTTTTCTGGTCAGATTCGCATGTGTCTAATGGTGTGGCGCATGAAGAGTATCAGTATCTAAACCTGTAATGATTTTGTATGTGCACTCTTCATCATGTACTGAAATCTTTTCTTAACAAGAATTCGAGATATCCTGCAAACTGGCATCAGGAAGGGAGACAGAACTGGAACAGGAACTATTGGTAATTTCAGAGCATATTTATGTTTACCTCCTTGTACTCTCCTTTGCAATTGCACTCCTTACTCCTTGCCTTGTGCAGGCAAGTTTGGAGCATCGATGCGTTTCAATCTGCGAGAAAGCTTCCCTCTTCTCACTACCAAAAGGGTTTTCTGGAGAGGCGTTGTCGAGGAGCTCTTGTGGTTTATCTCTGGTGCGACAAATGCCAACCTGCTTCGGTTAGACGCTGATCTCTGAGAAGCTCATCTAACGCCTCATGCAGCGAGAAAGACATTCACATTTGGGATGGGAATGGCTCAAAAGAGTATCTCGCTAAGATCGGACTTGGACATCGGTATGATAAACCTAGGAAGGGGCTTGATTCTTATCAGCTTTTCCAGTGAAGAGGGCGACCTTGGTCCTGTTTACGGGTTCCAATGGAGGCACTTTGGAGCAAAGTACACCGACATGCACGCGGACTACACTGGGCAGGGAGTGGATCAACTTGCCAACGTCATCAACACAATCAAGGTCGGCTCCAAAGCAGGTAGCCGACTTGAAGTTTTTACTAACTTGGATGAGCAGACAAACCCAAACGATCGGCGAATTCTTTTGAGTGCCTGGAATCCTGCCGATCTCGGTGAGAGTGTGGAGCACGTGCTTGCCTTATGGATCTCAAATGCTTGTTAGAAAATTCTGATTCCTCAAATGATAGGAATCATGGCTTTGCCCCCTTGCCATATGTTCTGTCAGTTCTACGTCGACACAGAGAAGGGGGAACTTTCATGCCAGATGTATCAGGTATGAGGATGATGAAGTTACACTCGACCGATGACAGTTTCCAGCGTTCATGCGACATGGGGTTGGGAGTGCCATTCAACATTGCGAGTTATTCGCTCTTGACATGTCTAGTTGCTCATGTCTGCAACCTCAAGCCTGGAGAATTCATCCACACTCTTGGCGACGTGCATGTCTACAGGTGCTCTCACTTTGTTTGAATCCTGAAGGAGCTAACCCCATTTGCCTTCATAGCAACCACGTCGAGGCCTTGAAGATTCAACTCGAAAGGGAGCCAAGGCCTTTCCCAAAAATCAGGTTCATTTGCTTCAGTCTCAGGTCATTTCTTTGACTACCTTTGGCTTCAGAATCAACCCAGAGAAACGGGACATCGACTCTTTCGTACTCTCCGACATTACTCTCGAAGGATATGATCCTCATGCAAAAATTGCCATGGACATGGCAGTGTAAGAGGCTGTCCCACGTAAATGTTGTAGAGTATAACACTCAACGAGAGAAATGAGCGTATATTTAAGTCTGGCGTTTCATTCAAATCAATAATTCCCCTCAGAAACTCTGATGAACTCATCAGCACGTGCCGTAGGAAGACTCGCTGGCCTGCACTGACTCGGTGAACCTGCGCTTGTTCCTTCGCTGAAGAACCAAGAAGATGGTGGCCACGCACACTGTGCAAAAATCAGTGCCAAGTGCAAGAGACAAATTTTTGAAAATACCAGCACAAATGACGAACAAGAAAGACGAAGAACCATAACTCATCGAGAACGTCTGACCCCTTGCAGCAAGCTCCACCGGCTCTCCTTCCTCCACCACGTGATGCTGCGTAGAAGGGTAAGGAGACGGAGGAGGTTTAGCGTTCGTCTTACATATGGATGGTGGGAATGCTTCTTGGCAAGCTTGTGCGACTTCTTCGACTTATCGCCGAGGCCCAGTGCCTTCATTCCCTCAGGAGGAGGCTCAGCAAAGACTGGAAGCAGTGAGTTCCAAATCACGGTTTACCAAGAGAATCACCAGCCAGCATGAACGAGCCCGTGTCGAAGATAACGTCCAGGGGCTGTGGTGGAGAACCAATGGCCAGCTGGATGTTGTACGTCACCATCTGCTGGGACTTGACGGCAACCTTGTCAGGGTGGCTGGCATCGATGGGTTCTGCAGACGAAACAAGTTACAATTACACCTTCCAAATGTCGTGGAAAAAGAACTTGAATGCTCACCAGCAAGTTCAGTGAACCTAGCCTTGAGAGCCTGCTTCGTTGCTGAGAGTGCACGTACGAAGTGCTGATCGCGCATCTTCCTTCTGGCATGAATCTAGAGATTTGCGTCAGTACACAGAGCCACCAGCCCTCGGCTCGATCACCTTAGTCACAGGATGATGCTTCTGGTGAGCTTTGAAGGTCAACTGATGGGGAGCATGATTGGGAGTGAGGATACTGCGATCAGTTGCCGCTCCAAGCTGGTAGCTGGGATTCTTCGGGGCAAGTCCCATCTTCTTTGAGCTAAGGTCCGTCAAGTCATGCAACACAACCCACTTGCGGAAGAAAGGGTCTCCCAAGATCATGGTCTCATCAGTTGGCTCAACGCATTCGGTGTAGGACATGGCATACGTGTGTTCCACTCCAAAGATGTCACGAGTCTTGTAGAGCAAAGGGTGACGCTCGCCTTTCGCTTGCTCTCGCGCAAGAATGCCGAAAGGAGATGTTGTGAAGTTGCCTTGCACATTGGTGTTGGGCAAAAGGAGACAAGTGGTACCAGAGTCGAACTCTCCAACGAACGCCTTCTTGTGATTCGCCTCACCGAAATGCAGCAGTTCAACCCCACCATACGAGATGGAATGGATGTCGATGCCGTACACGTTCTCACCCGTCATATGGAACATGGTGAAGTCGTCTGACAACATGGCCGGATCGTAACCACCGAGCTGCAACTCTCCGAGCTCGTTGTTGGCTGTGAAGGCAAACTTTCTCGGCATCGGCACACCATCACCAGCGAAGGGCTGATCAAATATGTTCCAACTTGGACGACTGGGCTGAGTCAGAGTCTTGAGCAGAGCCGCAGATCGTGGCTGATCGGCCCAACCGAATCCAAGAATACCATCAACGTCATCAAAGTTTCTGCTGTTGCAGTGCTCGATCATGCCCATCCTTGTCATCACACTGTAACGACCCAGAGTGGCCATATCCGCACCATCATAACCTCTCAAGTTGGTGTTGTCCAAGAACGTGACGTTGACGTTGTTCAGCTTGATCAGGCTGAAGGTGGAAGAGTAGGAAGGACGGAAGTACCTCCCGATATGATTGCCGTATGTCTCTCCTCCTTGGTGCCAGAAGTGGCTGTCTAGAGATTGCTTGCGATGATGTCTTGACATCTGCTTCTTCGAGCTGGTCTTAACGTCGCCCAGGGCATCCTGCACGACCTTGGCGTGCACACCAGCCAGGACCGACAACAGAGCGATACAGAAAATTCTTGAGTGCATTGTTGAAGAAAGTGTAATCAGATCCAAATCAGGCTTCAGAATCCAAAGTAAGAGTCGAGCTGATCCTTATTCTGGTAAATTCCTCCCCTCAACACGTGCTTGTCTGCCGCAAACGAACTTCCGATAGTTTCGTCCCCAAGGTGAAGAACAGGAGACGGGCGAAACGACAGACTGGAACTGGATTAAACAAGAAGAGTGAGACACCGGCATCAAATTTCCATGCATGTCAAGTCGAATCCAATCCTATCTGTCCTCCCTAAATCATTCGAGTTGAATAATCGCCCAGATTCTGCTCAGAATCTGAACTTTATGAAGTGGTACTCTTCCTGGACAACCTCATTGAATCCCTAGCTTCTGTTCATATTTCCGGGTTCTGCCTGCTTCCACTGTACTTCTGTCATAGTGTTCTCCTCTCTACTCTGCGCTCCTTCATCTCTTGACTCCTCCTATCTGGCATGCCTTACCTGAAACGTCCCAGCATGAACTGCCGCAGCCTGTTGCACCACCACCTGCTTTTATTGGCAACCCCCACCCTACCTTCAATACACAACAAGTAAACTACATGTTCATATGTCTTCAAAACTATTCTTGATATTTGAAATATTTTCATCTATATCTGCGTTAATATTTCAACAATGAGTAAGTGACCCACCTCCTTGATCGTGAATCCTGACTACCCACCCCTCTTTGAACGTCGGTATCTCAGCAGTGGCTCTTCGCACACTAGAAGAAATCGGGTCCTAGTACCGCTATAGGACTGTATGACCCCATTAGAAAATGTCACCATTACCCCTCAATAGAAGGTTGAAAATGCGTGTATGTTTAGGGTGGGTAATCAAATTCGAGGGGGTGGTGGAGAGATCAAAACTAGGGGTTATTATGAAGTGTTAAAGTTAAAAAAAGAAAAAAAGAAAAAAAGAAAAATCTGCAACGCGAATGATGACAGCAGCGTTGTTGGTATATCAGGGTGGGGAGGAGAGGTTAGGTGAGTAAACGAGAGCAGGAGAGGAGAGGAGAGGAGAGGAGACGAGAGGAGACGAGAGGAGACGAGAGGAGACGAGAGGAGACGAGAGGAGACGAGAGGAGACGAGAGGAGACGAGAGGAGAGTCGAGGAAAAGGACCCAAAAGGGGGCGCCAGGAGAAGTCAAACAGCAAGCCAGGGCACCAAAGACCTTCAGTTCAAGAAGAGTTTTATAAGGCCTGTCCCCATTATGCAAGCTTTCATCAACTCAGTTGTAATGTTGCAAATCCGACATGCCGGAGGGTAACCTTTCGGGCAGGTTGATAGTGCCAAGGTGGATGCACGGAAAATAGACAAATGTATAGATCTGCTGCCAAAGGTCCTTCTGATTCATAAACTGAAGTTATCTGAACCGTGTGTTGACCATGGGCAGCAATTTCAAACCATTTTGATATCATCCAATTTCTCGTATGGGAAAAAGTCACACATACCGCGATATGAGTGAGATCATACAGCCCTGGAAGTTTCCTTTGAGTTGATTGAGAGCTGATTACAGGGCAACACAGTACGATGATGCTTACAAGGTGGACGGTGAGCGCTGCATTCTGGACGCGTTGAGAAATCCCGGTGACTGTCATGAAACCAGATGCCGTGGACGAAGATGAAGAATTCGAGAACCGCGCAGGTTCGGCAGAGGAGAGCAGGCGCGATGTAGAACGGTTTTGATCGACCTGCTTCAGCTGGACAGATCAAGTTCTGGGCGGCACCAGATGAAGGTATATTCAGTATATGAAGGATTGGTCATGGAGCTCAATGTTTTTACTCCAGATCATGAATGCTCCAACTCCCATCAAGACCCTTTTGCTGGCGACGACTCAAACGGTCAAATGTCAGAGGATGAAGCATTCGTAAACGGCGGGGATGAGCCTGAGCCAACGCAAGTGCCAGAGATTTGCTCAGAAAGTCCAAGTTTCGCTGTAGAAGGTGTTTTCTGCTTGAGGTTTCTTCAAGTGCATGATGGTTTTCTTGCTTCAAGGTGAACGAAGCTCTCTGAAGAGAAAGGTGCCGCACCCTTCAGAGTCATCGAAACGGCAACAAGTGACCAATATTCCATTCTCAAGCTATGAATGCAGGAGGTACCTCGAGACAGACGAGCATCAAGCTCAAGATACGCCCGAGGCCGTGACTTGCAGTTGGGCAAAGGGCTTCGCGATGGGATGGAGTATGGCAGCAACCCTCTCCGTTGCGCAGTCGCTTCTTCGCGATGCCACAGCCCAGCATATGAGGAGTGAGCCTGAGACTGATCCTGAGTGCGGGATCTTTGTGGGATGGCAGAACAAGGCATGGGATCAAGAGCCTGTTGCAAATCCTTCGCCCTCCTCAAATGCGCATGATTCCTTGAGAAAACGTCGGGAAACAAGAAGTTCGAAGTCTACACCCACGAAGACAAGTACATCGCAAGAAACAAGTGCGGAAACTCGCGAGTCACCCGCAACGAGGATTCTTGACCTTGTGAAGCAAGCAGAGGAGAAGGTGATTGACTGCTTGTGGCATGCTTCAAATGTTTTGACTGGCAATGTCAGTTTGAGAAACAGTACGGCAAGGGCTCGTGGTCTCGCAAACCAACCGGGTCTGACGAAGACTCTGACATGGAAGATGAAGAAGATGACTTGATTGTTTGAAACTTCGATGATCAGCGCTGCGATGTTAGTTTCATTCGTGCCGAAAGGGACTCATTAAAGACTGCAGGCTCGCTGAATTCCTTCAGAAAACTTCTAGCCACGCTCAGTATGCATTTACTGAAGTCGCGCCGTCACTCTTCTCCTGACTTGATGCATCACTGTGCTCTATAACTATCACCGTGACTCACTGGTCATCAGCCTGGCCCGCGAGTGCCGCAGAAATAAAACGTCAAAACTTGACGGGGCTGCGGGGGGAGGAGGCTTCTGGCGGTTGATAGCCATGGCACCTGGCCCGCGGTACAGCGGGATCGAGGTGCCCGGCATGGTGGCAGAGAGGGGGACGAGGATGGAGCATGCTCGTGCAAGTGAGATCCTGAGGAGGCATGAGGAGGAGGAGGGTCAGCATGGCGGGGGAGGGGAGAGCGAGGAAGAGGACTCTTTGTGGACTGCAGGAACGAGGGAAGGTGCTGATCTTACACGCTATGTGCTTGAGAGCAGCCTTCAGAGCGCTCCTGAGGTGCCTCAGCTGCTACCAGAGTCGGTGGAGCAGGCAGACGTAGGAGATCTCAACACCAACCATGCAAGAATAGTCGCTGTGATCGCCTTCTACGGGCAGTCGGCTGATGGGCTGAGCGCTAGGGAGACGTGGATCAGAGAGTTTGCGCTCCTTGTGCTCATCTACGAGGGCGTGCAGCTCGGTGTGTTCCAGCTGGATTATGCTCCGAAGAGCATCCGTGTCAACCACAGCGAGTTGGTCGGCAGAGTGTACATGAACATCTCGCAGGAGGCGCTGGGGGCGGTGGAAGATCTGATGGAGTGGGGGCTAGTGAGCAAACTGCACATGATCACCAAGCAGCACCACATGGTGACTTCATATCAACTCACTGAGAAAGGCAAGAAGTACGTCTCGGGGATCTCGAGCGAGGACATGGAATCGGTGCGGAGGCTGGTATTCGGCCCTGAGGTATGAAGGCGTTGCCGATGATGATGATGATGATGATGATGATGATGCAGCCGTACGGCAAGGAGCTGGTTGACATCATGTTCGACGGGTCCTCGTTCTTCCTTACCACACCTGCTGGATACAACAAGGAGTCCACAGTGACGGAAGCGGAGGTGGCAGACAGCTGGGCAACTGTTAACTTTGACATTCCTTATCAGGATGTTTCCTACGTGACCAGCCCTTACATCCCCGTCAGCCTGAGGGCAGCATGGGGCCCCGACCTCCCAAGGTTGACCCGCCACATGACTTGTATGGAGGAAGTAGTGAGCTTGCCTTGAACAGCAACAAGGAGAGGGCGTCAGAGTCCTCCACCGCAGCCAGCAACAAGCAGAGCGCAACGGTGGAGGAGCTGTACCTCTCGAGTGTTCGGGTTCTTTCTTCAGGTTCGTCAGACTTGTTGAGGAGTCTGTGGGGACGAAAACAGGAGGAGGAGGAGGAGGCTGACAAGAAGTGTGCAGAGTACGTGCCGCTGAATTCAAGCTCGCTTTCCTCGTTGATCTCTTTATTCGGAGCTTACAGCTCGAGAAAGGTAAGTGGAGGGCAGTAGATGAGGAAGGGATTGCAACTGTGACCATGTCAGTGACAGAAATGACTTTTTCGTCATGACTTGTCACGTCGATGTTCTGAATGTGACATGGCAGGTTGGTTCGTCTCTTGCCGGAGGAATTCAAACCGACGAGATTCTTTCCTCCTCGAGTGTCAGCTTACCTGCAGGGCTGACTAGAGCCTTCGTGATGGGTAAGGAGGAGAGGGGAAAGGAGGAGGAAGAAAAGGAGGAGGAGGAGGAGGAGGAGGAGGTATGTAACAGTGGGGCACAGATTATCAGTGAACTCGACAGAAGTGATTGAATTGGCAAGGAGACCTGCTGCTGACAAAGGTAAATCACAGGGCGGAAGAGCAATACGGTATGTGGACTCAGAGATGAGGATAACTGACGCCTTGCAAGCCGCATGCCATTCGTTTCGGAACTATCGCAGCAGTGTCATTGGCGACTATGTGCGGCTCCTTCTGATTCGGCACAATGGCATCCGGCCAGCTGATCATGATCTGGAAGGTATCGATGTGGATTCAGGATCCAAACTGCAATCCATGTGCGAAGATTTTACAGAGGAATGGGAAAGATTGTTTGTCAAGACTGTCAAGGCTGGTTTGCCGCTTATTGAGAATGTTTGTTATGGTTCAAAGTCCTCGGTATGTGGGGCCAAAAGATCAGAATGTCCAGCTGGCACTTCCAGTCTCATTCCGGATGAAAATGAAATTAGCGGCAAA